GTCTATTTACATACAGAACAATAGCGTCACAAATGTTTGTATATTTTATAGAGCTCCACTCCCAAATTCAGTGTATGAAAACACACAGACAGAAACAACTATAACTGGTGAGCATTTTTACATGTTCCTCTCTTCTATACCCTTAAACATTGAAAATACATTTAATCACCAACCTCTCCAACTTAGATAGCTGTGTGATTATTTTTAACATGTATTTCTTGTGTTTGTCTAGATGCTGATCAGACGCCAGGAGTCTATGCAAACTTTATCCAATCATTGTCAATAAAGGACGGTATGTTCAGCTACTGTATCAAAATATCAGTTGTGATTCAGTTAGAGATAGTTTGTAGATCATATGTTAAGTTGTAGGAATGTGAAAGAGAAAAAAACAAAATACCAGTTATTAAAGTATTAAAGAGTTGTTTGAACTGTGTCAACAAACAGATGAGGACGACTATGAGAACTCTGATTTCCTGGACCAAGTTCAACAAGAAGATGGTGAGTGGCAAAACAGCATTTCCTTGTTAATTACATGCGGAAACGGTCTGCTCTATGGTTTGTAGAAGAAAATATTTTACTCAAGCAGAAGAGCCTGTAGCATATCTGAGCAGGTTTTGAACATTTCATAGACCGAATGATTAACATGAGAAATAACATGCAGATCAATGGATATTGAAAATAATTGTTAGCTGCAGCTTGCAGGAATTAAAGTTTAAGTATTTTTATATCTTTAATTTAAGTAATGTAAGTATTAATGAATTGCTGAGTAAAGTGTTCATCACTATGGGGTAACAATAGAGGCACTGTGGAAAAAATAGTACATACCTTCAAGTCCTTGTGGTAAAGTGTTTTTCTTTTTTACAGAAAAAAAGGGTACAGTCTAAGCACCATAGGGAACAGTTATGGTTTATGTTCATAAATGTATAAATCTGCATGTGATTTAGAAGTCAGACAACCTCTGGTGTTTTAAATCACAAGCAGACCACAAGGAGCACAGGAGACCACTGCTTAAGTTCCCATTTCCAACAACAGTAAGCGATGGCTTCCTTTAACCATTTAATATTTTAAGGTTCTGGAGGCCAGTGTGGTCCTGCTGACTGGGGCTTCAGATCAGAAAGCACTTCTAATTGTAGTTCTTCAGGGCAATTACAAACAATACATTTGGTCTTTTAATTTGGAAGACTTATTGCCTCTTGCACAACAACACAGGTGTTTTCACTTAATTTCTTCTGCCCTTGCTTTAAGTGTAGGTGCACAACCATGCATCAAGCTAAATGCACTTCCAATTAAGGTTAATCTGTTTCCCCTGTCAATATGAATTTCCCCTTATGTTAACCAGACCCTGACCTTCAACCTAACGCTAACCAACCCCAGTCCAGCCACAGCCATTAGCCGTCATTAGCCAGCGAGCCATAGCAACATTTGCAAAACAAATTCATAATATGGGTAACAGCAAGTTAGCTAACTTTATCATGCCTACTGTAGCAGGTCACTGACGAAAACAGACATTTAACATTATGTAGCCATCAAGGTACTTACATTGAGGAGAAGAAAAGCCAGTTCCAGGTCAGGCTTTAGCCGGTTGTAGGGCTCTCCTCTCAGTAAAGACAGACCAGTTAGCTCCACTGGTCGGACTGGTAAAGATGTTCGCTGGGACCTTCGGCAGGACTGGGACTCCAAACTGTGACTTTATGGATGTTTTGAAGTCCAATGGCCGAGCTGGTATTTGAGCTGGTAGTCCCCATCGCCACTCCGACTGTGCTCTGGTCTTATCTCTGTCTCTGTCGGGGACCCTTTTACACGAAAACGTGGTTACTTCAGAGGAGGACATTTTGGAGATAACCTTTCACCTGAATGGCGGTTACTGGAATGAGCCATCACACCTGTGGGTGGTCCTTGTGTGTTCATAAAGGTGGGGAGGGTCCCGCAACACAGACAGAGGGGGTGTGGTTTTACTCTTTGCTCAGGACGCCATTGCTTCACTGCTGCCCTGTTCAGACCTGATATTAACATGCATTTTCAGTGATCCGATTACAAGTTGCCAGCTCTTAGTGCGTCAGTTTAATTTTCGGTTCATTATGAAGCTGTGGCGGGACTAATCGGACTGTGTCAGAGGACGTAGGTGGAGTAGGCGGTCCTTCAGTGTGGCCCAGGACGCATTTGCGTTTACACTGCTAAACGAATGTGGCCACTTGTGGTTCGAACCCCCTCCAAATGTGATCCGAGTGATCGGATCTCAAATGCGTCTTCAGTGCGTCATGGGTGTGTTCACACTTGTACTTAGCGATCGCACCAGGCAGATGTTAATACCTGGTCTGAACAAAGCTTATTTCGTAGAATGGAAAATATGTTTTTGCTGCTATATTATGTAACGAAATGACTAAATGGAAACGACTTATGACTCTGGTTTTTAAAATGTTATATTCTGATGGTGAAATAATAACTAAATTGTTACCAGTGTTACAGCTGAAAATTACAAAATGTAACAAAGCTTTCAGCCAAGCATATCACATAGTACATCTTATCTGGTATAGTGGACACTAGACATCATGTTTAAGGAACTCCATGACACCATGTTTATTGTGCCAACTCCTTACATCGAATGTGAACTTGTTCAGGCTGAAATATTAACTATTCATCCACATTTTCTTTTTCTAACAGATGAGCCAGATTATGTAAATGAAATCGTGGACTGCACCTGACGTGGACCACCAGAAAACCTAAGTGAAAAGATGCGAACAGCCTGTACTGCACTGTCTGTTGTCTATAACTGAAAGTACAAGTTGTTTTTTTTTTTATTCCTGCTATGTGTGATGTGCAAATTATGTGGACAGCTGTGTGAATAAATACTCATGAACACTGCTTAACTGTGAAAACTGAGGCTGCCATCTAGTGGCAAAAAAATCCACTTTATTATAAAGTATACAATGGACACTGTTATATCTCCTTGATATTCTTGGACGTTTGCTTTGATACAAGGGATTTTGGGGTCTGGATAAATGTTGAAGAATTTGTTTGGGGCTTCTGAGTATAAAGGAGGAAGCTAATCAATATAATTACTGAGCAAAGAAGCACCAGTTTAATCCTCAAATTATCATTTGAGGATTACAAGGTTTCATAAATGTTCCTATTCAGCATTACTTTAAATATCAAAAGTGGTAGCACTTTAATACCCCTATTTAACACTTATTCGCAGAATATGCTTCATAAAGGACTATAATTTATTTGTAAGCAGAATTAAGTGTTTATCATGTATTTGTCAACAACCGTAACTCCCCCTGTAAACACTCATTGGTGGAGGCTGGTGTTTAAACAGATAACAAATTAAAATATAGTAAAGCACTGTATATCTTCATAAGTTAAATAATGACAAATTATATATAAATAAATGTATGAAATGTTTATTTACTGCCTTTACATGCCAAATATGTGGATGTAATTTAAATGTTACCTCATTATGAATAATTGGAGTTGTGGTGATTAAGGTATTATCTGGACTGCCTCTAACTTCTCATAGACTTAGAGGCTTTGGAGCTAAAATGCTCTGTGAAATACTCTTACACCAAAAAACTTGAAACTTAGGAGTCCTAAAGTTAGGACAGACACACCTTATTTTTTCCTGACCCAGCCATTTTGGAGGCCCTGTGGATATTTTGAGTACAGCCCTGGGTCTGGTGTGGGTGTAACAGTGAGGGGAACAGTGGAACTAAGTACCCAAGGCCCCAACATGGAAGTAGCATTTGTTTTTATCTTCAATTTTGAAATTTTGCATTCTTAGCATTATAAGTAAACTTTTACTGCTGCCTGAAGAAACAGTTGATGAAAAGATTAACTATTTCATGAATCTAAAGATGAAAGCCACCCAGGACCCTCAGCCTTCTGAGAGGTTTAGTCCACTCCCACAGCAGGGCGGATAAACATTTGTCTTCAAATGCTAAAACTGCACTGATGCTGATGTCTTCAGGTGTCATTCATGTAATTTCAAAAGAATTAAAAAGTAAAATCGGGCGACTTAAGGAGTAAAGACAGTCATGAGTGAGAAAGAAATATATACAGGTCCCAGATTTATGTGCTATGCCACTGGATTAAACCAGTATTAAGTGTGGGTTGGCATTTTTTATTTAAAAGGGGCACACGTCTACTTCCTGGTGTTTGAATGCCTGTTTAAATGCTCAAAATTGCTCCAGACCCACGGACCCCATCAAAGGAATCTTCGTTACATCTTAGCTGGTAGATGATTGTCCTTGCAAGCAATCACACATCACAGAATAAGCTGTGCGGTGACACCATTACACCATGGCTTATCCTACCTGTAGCTGCAAAGCCCTTCAGAATGAGGAGACCAACATTTTTTTTTTTTTTTTACACAGACGGTTTTATTAACCTGAACAGATCAGCCAAGATCGACACCACATCTCAGTCTGACGCTGCTCAGTAACCAACAGCCAGAGAAGACAGATGACCAGAGCAGACGTTCGTGTGAACAGACAGAAAATACAACGTCTAGGTACACACACATATTAACCATTTATACATATATATGTGTGTGTGTGTGTGTGTATATATACTGTATGTATACACTCTGTCAAGGGTGGTGCAAAGACATTGCATGGTGGCTTTGGAAAAGTGATGCGGCAATACACACACTCACACACATACACAAGAGCCAGTGTTTTAGTTTCTCAGGGGTGAGCGCTGGCGACTCCTCTCGTGATTTTTAAAAGGAAAACAGAAGAAATCGCAACGGGTCAGAGAGAAAACAAGCGGGCAAGTGAAGCAGAACACTGACACCTGCTGTTTAAACCCAGATTGAGGTGACAGTAACGCTGTGGAGGGTGTTTGCTGTGTTTCAGCCGTCCATTAAGCAGGTCAGCAGGAAAATTTATCACCTGAGCAAAAGAAAACTTCCACATTAACAAGCCATTTGATCTTTCTTTTAACAGGTCTGATTTCGCAAAAAATAACCATCAATGTCAAGTGATGACTCAGATTCCCAGCAGTTTGACTTGAAGAGTTTTATCAGCAGGTTAAAGTAAGGCAGAAGGCTCTACTTGTTACAGACAGCATCGATAGAAATGGAAATTATCCCCTGTGAATCACAACTGGCATTACTTTAAAAACAAAGCCTGAATACAAGATGACATGGCTGATAAAGCAGTTGTGGGTTTTTTTTTTGCAGGGTGGAAAGGTTTCAGGAGTTTCTGGCTGAGTAGCTACCCACCTCTCATACACTCACACTCACTCACACACACACATACAGACACACACACCAGCGGGCTGATAGGAAGTTTAGACACTGCTGAGGGCGTCCACGCCAGGCAGGACTTTACCTGAGGACACAAAGAGAGTGAACACGCAGTCAGCATCATCATTATCATTATCATTATCATTATCGAGCCTCAGTATGACAATGAAATGATTCAAAGACCAAGTTTTTATTTGTTCTTCAGCATCATGTTGTTTTCTCTGTCACTCACCCTCCAGCAGCTCCAGACTGGCGCCGCCTCCTGTGCTGACATGGCTGACCTTGTCTTCTGTGTTCCACTTGGCGCAGCAGGTGGCAGTGTCACCCCCACCTGGACACAAACAAACATACATCATTCTTACATGATCACAAGTCTACAAGACTCAAATCTGCCTATGTTTTACAAATTAAACTCAGGAATTACAAAAAAAAAAAAAGATTCTACCCACACTTGGGTTCATTTAATGCTGCAGTGTTTTGGACCATTAGTGTTGTAACCACAAGTGTTTGTGGTAGAGACCCACCCCATAAAAATACAATGCTTTTATTCCCAAAGCAACGTGGGGCCAAAGGTATTAATACACAAGCAGTTTTTGCAGCTACATCATAAAAATGGGTTCAATCATCTCTGACAGTCAATAGCCTACAGGTGCAGAGACCACTACAAACAGTACATAAAGAAACCGCAGAACAATAAGAAAATAAAAAAATATATACATATTTATAAAAAGTAATAGAAAATATTAAAAATAGATAAACAATGAAATTAAAGTAAATCAAACAAAATGAAGAAAATAAAAAAAAGAAAAAAGATTATATTTAGAAGACAGATTGATCAGCAGACTGAATAACATGGCTACAAACAAACAACAAAGAAATAAACACAAAAGCTTCCGTCCCTTCTTGTCTGTCTTACCAATGATTGTGATGCACCCTGTTTTGGTCACCTCGACCACTTTGTCCATCAGGTTCTTTGTCCCTTTGGCAAAGTGGTCCCACTCAAACACACCGACTGGGCCGTTCCACACGATCTGCTTGGCCCTGCCCACCGCCTCTCCAAAGGCCTTAGAGCTCTCTGGTCCACAGTCCAAACCCTGCGGAGGAGAGAAGAACATTATTATCAAAATAGAAGAAAGAACGTCAATCATTTGGATGGGAATTTAATAGTGATAAAAGATGAATCTTGTTTTCTCACCATCCAGCCGGCAGGGATGCCAGCAGCGACGGTGGCGGTGCCGGTGGTGGCTTTCTCATCAAACTTGTCAGCGGTGATGAAGTCGACGGGCAGTGTGATCTTGACGCCGTTCTTCTCGGCTTTGGCCATCAGGTCTTTGACGATGCCAGCACCCTCCTCATCGTAGAGAGAGGTACCAATCTGACAAAGGCAAGAGGAACGGGGGGAATCAGTGAAAAATGAAAAACACACTTCAGCAAGTAGCAAATTTGTCTCTACAACAACCTGACAAAGTGATCAAGGCTGATATTTCTACATAGAACTGTAGTGCAGCTTTATATTTTCTCACATTCCACTGATCAAGATTAAATTAAATTAAATAATCCTTAATTGCTGTTACTCTGCCTCCTCCTCACTCAGAGACTGGATCAGATATCTGATCCTTAACAATCTCATTAAATGTTCTGTATTTGATTTGGTACATGACTTTTTTTAGCCAAATCATTTCATAATCATCTTTTCTACAGTGATTAACAGATCATTTATCATAAAAACTAAATGTTCCTTAGACACAAATAACCTTCCCAACCCCACAGGAAATTGTCTGTATTGTATAAAGCCCAGAAAAGAAAACTTATTTTGGCTTGTTACTGGGTGAAAAACATGTCAGGAGCTCTGTGATTGGTGAACCCTCTATAAATTTCTAGAAGGTCTTGCTAATTCATTCAAATGAAGCTACATTCTGGAGTAAAATTAATGAACCAATCACATTTCAGCTCTAGGAGGGAGGGTTCCTTCATTGATAAAACAGTGACGACTTCCAGCAGCAAAAAGTCCTAAGGTCCAATGGTCACGGTTCTCCACTGACAGATAAGGGTTCGATAGGACATTTGTTAGTGCTGGAGCGCAGCAAATCTGGGCTATTGAATGCTGGTGGTGTTCAAACAGACTTGTGGAAATGATTTGTTTTGTTAGTGTCACAGCAGAGATTGAGAATCATGTGCAGACCTGCTTTTGTTTAAAGGGTCAGTTCTCCCCAATAACAAAAGAAAATATTTCCTCACTTACCCGTGGTGGTATATTCTAGATATTTGTCCATGATTTCAGATATCAGTCTAAGAGATTTCTGGCTCCACCGGAATACAATGGAGAATAATGGAATTTAGTTTGTGGTTCTCACAGAACTGAAAAATTTTCTTCTAAAATTTACTAAATAAAATTCTGCTCTATGGTTTGGAACTACAAAACTAACTTTTAGTTATTGTTACCTGATCCAGGTGTTGCAGAAACATAAGTTGTTAAAGTGCTCAGCATTTGAGCATTGTATTGGGGTGGCAGTGGATATAGGTTTCTTAAAGTATAGACAAATCAAACAAAACTATCTGTCTACATATCACAAAGGGGGAGTGAGGAAATATGTTCTTTTGTAATTTTGAACTGACCCTTTAAACAAAAGCTGGCCTTTTCAAATGTTTTTGTCAGAGGTCAAACTGAGGTGATGAACGTGATTCTTAGTCTCTCTAAAACTAACAGTTTCACAAGTTTCCCAAGTCTGTTTGAACACCACCAATATTCAACAGTCCAGCAGCTCGATGAAGAGAGCACGTTGAGCCCATGAAGAATGATCACCTGACTCTACTGGTCTCTTGAGTTCTACAGAGCTTATAACATCTCTCAGCTCTTTGTTTTGGTTTCCCCACCTTCAGCTTTATTACTTTGGTTCACTCTCACAGCTTTCACAGCAGCAGCTGTTCGCAGAGAAAAAGCTCTAAAAATCACTGTACACGACTTGCAGACTTCCTCACCTCCATGTTGTTGAGGACTTTGAGGAAGGTGAAGGCCATGCCGCCGCCGATGATCATCTCATTAACCTTATCCAACATGTTGTTGATCAGCTGGATCTTATCTTTCACCTTGGCTCTAAAACGCAGACACAAGAGAGGCGGAACACATCAGTATAGATAAGAAACATGCATGTAAAGGAGGAAAAAAAGTTAAATAAATAAATAAATACTTTCAATTAAATTTCTGACCTGGGTTTTAATATTTTATTCAAAACAGACGAGATGATCTAAATGTTGTTCCTCAAACAACACTCTTCACACATGTAAAACTAGAACTTTAATAAGGCTGCATGCAGAGAGAGAGGAGCCCTTCACAAAAAACAGCCATTTTTGTTTAAATAAAAGTACTTTAATCCATCATCAAAATAGCTTTTTATTTTCTGTTGATTGACAGATCAATTAATCAGCAGCTCTATGCTGTTATCTTGTGATCATCACAATGAAACATCAAGTAATTGCCGCTGTGATAACTTACAATAGTTGTGAAATCCTGTGTCATATCATAAACTACTGTGCAGTGCTTTGGCTTCTGATAAATGCATTAATCTGTCACTCAAACTGGACTTCCTGGATCGTTTATCATGGTGTCACTGGTACATGAAGCAACACATCCCATCAATGCAGCCCATTGCATATTATTGTTTTCCATCTGAACTCCCTCTAATTCATTTCTTAGCTTATTCATTTGGACACATACGATTCCACCAACACTGATGAAAATATCCTCTTCAAACTCATGATTTATCCGTTTCACTGCTGTGTGAACTCTGCAGCCGTTCACTGGATGACCATAACACTCTAATGGTCGATTGCCTTTGTTTGTGAACTGGAAGAAGGTGATTGGTGGCACTGCACGCCGCTGAGTGGATGTGACAGTTGCACAATGCAATCAGGCTAGAATGGACTCTGACACAAGGCCAAATCCCACATGTGGCCAACGGCAGCTCGGTGAAACAGAGTGTCTGTTACAGCAGCTTCACACACTGTTTCCTCTTTATTCATCCAACTACGGTGCTGCAACTTGGAGTAACACAAGAAACAATGGCTCAACAAATATGAAACCACCTGCTGCACCACAGAGACGCCACAGGACGTAGTGCTCTGATAGCTCATGGTGCGTTCAGGAGTTTGTAGCGAGCTCATTAACTTTAATTTAAAGAATTTATTTAAACTTGCTGTAGTTTTTGTCATTAAACTTGTGTAATATCAGATGAAACAGAATGATGTTTGGTAATTTACTCAGTTAACATTCCTCAGTTTGGGCAAATACAGAGTGATTACTTTAGTCCTGCTTGATGACAGATATTGATGGTAGTTTTCTATCTGTGTATATCTGATATCTTTGTATTTTCAGATGAAACAAAAATACACTTCACTGATGCATGAATGCGAAAAAAAAAAAAAAGTTAAAAATGTATGAAAACTTCAGGAATTTTAAATCACATCTTCAACCACACAACCCTGAAAATAAGTGAGGAGTGTTAACTGATGAATGGAAATAAAGAGCTATTCACCAATATGTACTATATGACCTCTCATCTCTGCCTGCTTGCTATGTGCACACTAAGGTCTGAGCAGTGATAGCAGTGTCTTGAAGAGAGCAGTGTACTGTGACACCATAGATTACATAATGAGCTTAGAGTCTCTATTCCTGGATGGTCACCTGGGTATTTTAAAAAGAGACTGCACCGCAGGAGAGAGAGAGAGAGAGAGAGAGAGAGAGAGAGAGAGAGAGAGAGAGAGAGAGAGAGAGAGAGAGAGAGAGAGAGAGAGAGAGGAGCTCTCAAAAAAAAAGAGAGGACATTGCTGATAAGAAGACTTCTTTTAAATTCAATTGGTGTCTGCGATAAAAGCTGGTATTGTCAGTTTTAGCAGGAACAGCACCATCCTCTCAAATCCAACCAGCTGGTACACAATGTAAACCACACCGCAGGAGGTTAAAAATTAATGTTCTACAAGGGCTGAAAAGTTACTGTTAAAGGCAATGTCCACAGCAAGTGTCTGCATCATGTTCCCACTCTTTCACCTCTGTTATCTTTACATGCCGAGTCTGTTTTAACCAGTAGTATACCAGAGAGCTTTTAAATGAGCTGAAAACATGTATTTAACTCTGATCTATACTTTAAATGTGGACTGGCAAGAAAACTACATCCACTATGTTGGACAATTGAATACATACAAGCACATATTCCTGCTAGATTACTTTGTAATATGAATGCCGCACTTAAAAGTATTACAAACTGGTGTGCATTGTATTATTGTCTGATAAGCCTTTAAATGCATTAATCTCTTACTTCCTGGATTATATTTCATTTCTCCCTGGTATCTTTGCAATACAGCACCAGCAACGCAGCCCCTTGCACTGTTTAACCACTGAGCTGTTTTCAGTCTGATCACCCGCTAACAACCCGGTGACGTTCAGACTTGATGAATTGCTGAAACGAACTGTTCTCACCCTCCGAGGATGGCCAGGAAGGGCTTCTGAGGCTTCTCCAGAGCCATGGCAAAGTAGTCGAGCTCCTTCTTCATCAGGAAACCAGCTGCCTTCTGAGACAGATTCACTCCCACCATGGAGCTGGGAGAGAGGAAGATGAGGAGGAGCAGTCAAAAGCAGGGTTCACCAAACTCAAATTTAAGACATTTTAAGATTTTTTAATACCAAATAGAATGTAATTTAACACCTCTTTCGCTATTGGCCAAACACATTCAAGAAGAAACATGGATGAATGGATTAAGCAGCCTGCGCTCCTGCTCACCTGTGGGCTCTGTGAGCTGTGCCGAAGGCATCGTTAATGTAAACATCTCCCAGTTTGGACAGAGACGCCCTGAAGGAGTCAATCTCCTGCTGGGAGGCCTTGGTCTGCGGGACAAAAAAGACAGGACAGGGTAAGAGAAGAAGACGAACACGGAAAGAAAGAAAACAAAAGGTACCAGTGGCTACAGTCTGCGTTTCCCTTCACATTTTATCGACAGATCCACCCATTACAATTTGCTTTAAGATCACTATAATATAATTGGATGGGCATGTGATTTCTAAGCACGGCTTTTCTTTTTAAAGGGTTCACAGTGTTCATTCTTTCTTCACACAAAATAATATTTCATTTTATGTTAAAAAACATTTTTGGAATATCGAAATCACAGGAGCTGCTAATTTTAACAAAGGTAAACGTTTCACAACACATTATTATAAATACAGCATTATGGTCACAGCATACAAATCATACTCTCCTGATGTAAGGGAACATGCTTGTTTGGTTGAGACCAGGAAAAACAAAAAATTACATCATTATATTTTTCATATTGTTTTCAATGAAAATTAAATGCATAAATTACCATTCCCACCAAAATCACGACTCATCGCAAGGTCCTTCAAAAATAATTGCAATATGATTTCTTTTTGCCCTAATATGAACAAATTTTCACGATCACTCTTCAGTCTGTGCATTGTGGATCAGGTTCCTGCTGCACTTTAACAGGCAAAGGTCGTGACTGTGGGACCGGAGGGCAGAAAAAGGTCAAGAGAGCTCTTCAGTGTCGTTCAAATGTCAGACATGAGTACAGTCAGGTCACTGCTTCCTACATTTCCCCCTTCAGTCCACATGACAGATTATACTATTAAAAACTAGCAATAAGTTACTGCTGTGTTCTTACGTTTCCCCAAATGCATGTTAGTTTGGTACAAATCTACTACCAAGATAACATTATAGTGTCGCTTTCGTACTTTATGGTATTATCATATGGAGCTGGGACACACTGTGGTGCTTCTGCTCCCCTCACCAAGGTTTGACTAAACCAGTGAAATTATATCAGTCTCAGGAGCAAATGATAAATATTTTCAGAATGAAATAAAATATAACATGTCCCAGTGTGATACAGTACAGCAGTACAGTAGAAACCAACCCACACAGGCTGCATACCAGCCAGGCCTCTCAGGACAGGAAAAGCAACACAACCCGCCAGGACAGCCCACTGACCTTAAGGATAAATGTCATAAGGACAAGGCTGCTGATCCACTGCTGCCCCCAGCATCAGCATTTATACTAAGTCCTGGGCCTGGGCCTGTTTTTATAATCATATCATCTGCATCTCAGCATAAAGAAAGAGACGGTCATCACTCAGATGTCGATGTTCCTTTCCTCATTGCCTCCATAAGGCATGAAAGCAGAGGTGGCACATTAGTGATAAGGGTGAAGACTGGAATAGACAGAGCTGTGATTTGGCACTTTACAGATGACACACTAAGGCTGTGTAACATTCAAACGTCAAACTCAAGAAGCTGAAGATGTGGCAGACAACACAGTTTGAGCTACAGCCTAGCAGACACTGCAGCACTCCTGACCGTGACATCATCAGACGGTGACGCAGCTCTTTCAGAAGGACACTGCAGCTGGAGTGACTGTGCATTTTCCACCAAGTGACCCAGCAGTGAGAAGTTCTGCTGTCTGTCTGACAGCCAGAGCACAATCAGTGCTCAACCCAAACAGCCCAAACAGAGCATTTGCCCCACCGCCTGGTTCTTTTCTTCTAAAGTTTTGAGTCGTTATCTTACAGAGCTACAGCTAACATGTTATATTTAAGGGATACAGGAATGAACAAGTTATATATTTGCTGACTCTCATTGATAACTTGATGTAAACCAAACGCATGAGGCACCAAATTCTGCCGAACATTAAACTAAACACTAACTGTGTCCTGAATCAGAGCACACAGACTGTTGAAGGACCCACCTTGTTTCCAGAGGCGTCCTTGCCTTTTCCCTCCTCGGCGACGTGGAAGCGGAGGTTCTCCAGCAGGATGACGGATCCCACGGCGGGGTTAGCACAGGCAGCTTCCACCTCTGCACCCACACAGTCCTTCATGAAGGTGATGTCCCTGCGGAGGACCGGTGAAGATAATTTTTGATAGTTTATCTTTTCACAAAATGTGTTATTTTATGATCTCAACAGACCAAGCTTTGTCTTCTTGTTATGACAATCAGTAGTCATTCTGTGATCATGAAATAATATCCTGTGATCTCAGGAAAACTTTGGATGATTAAATACTTTTATTGTGACCAATTTTTCACTGGGAAATCTGCACAAAAATGTCTTTTACATGGATGGTTATTCTGTTATTGTTTTAATGTTTAGATAGTTTTATCCAGTACAATTAAGGACATTTTTTGTTTTTGTATAACTTGAGTTTGTTTCTTAAAGTTATAACCTTGGGATTGTCTTTATATCAAACTCCATTTACAATGGTATTTATGATTTGCTTATTTTCTCTTAGCCAAATCAAGCAAGAATTACAAAACTGTAATTTGTTTGGTGCAAAAATATAAATATTTAATTTAAGGATTTATCGCTTGCTTTAAGAAATAAAATTAATTGAATGTATTAACTGGAGGAGAAGAGTAGGAACCCAGTTGTTCAGTCCATCTACTCACTTTCCCAGCAGAGTCTTGAGCTCAGCAGCAACGGGCTCCAGGGAGTATTTATCAGGCACAAAGTTTCCATCAGGACGGCCCAGGTGGCTCATCAGCACAACGGACTTGGCCCCGTGGTCCAGGCAGTGTTTGATGCTGGGAACGGCCGCCTTGATCCTGAAAATCAACGAGCATAAGAGCAAAGCCATCCGTCACCCTTTACTCCTGCCCATTTTTTTTGAAGAAACAAGGGCTTTGTTTGCTATGACCTTCAGTTTATTTTTACAGTGAGAACAGAAATGAGATGGACTTTACCTCTGGTTGTTTGTGATATGCTTGTCCTTCATGGGAACGTTGAAGTCAACCCTGAAAGAGAGCAAACTTAATTACCAGAAAGAAAGAGACGAATGGAGTGTGTCGTGCATCAAGGACTTTCTTTGTGATTTCCCATGTTTCTCTTTTGTACAACCCACATGTCTGATGTTCTTCAGCTGTGATTAACACATAAGATATTAACACCAGTATATGGAATAGCATTATGGTACCTGTAAGATTTCTGAGCATCAGTACAAAACGGTTGCAATGAGAAGTGGCTGCATACGGTTACCCTCTATTACAAAGAACGGCTATGGCTCCCAATCTGATAAACCAAATAAACCAAGTAGCTGAAAGATTTAGGATTTAATTTGATGAGATCTACTGCTGTGTTTTTGACATGGCAACACTGATGTCAGTCAGTATGATGAGCTCAACAAGATGTCAGATATTCGTCATGTCAACTTCTTCTGGCTACAGGTGATTTTGGTGACATTGGTCAGTGATTTTTGTCTCATCTGGAGGGCATGTGAATAATTTTCCATCCCCACTCCAGTAGTAATTACAGCCACAATTACCTACTATTTTTTGGTGACCTTGATGGTCCTCCTGTTATTTAAAAACCTGCCTGAAGCTCTCTGTTGGACAAACTGTGTGATGGTGACACAGTTTCTAAATTACATCGAACCTAGTTTAGCATGTCTGTACTGCTATTTCTTATTAATTACAGACTGACTTACATAAGTATATACAGTATCTACAATAAGCTGATATTGACAGATATATCATCCTGAATTACTGGTCTAGCTCTACTTTCTAATACAGATGCCCTTCATCTACTGACTGCTTTTGGTTAAGGTTTAATTAATGAGGGAGAGACAGATGCGACAAAGCTGTCGGGCCGGATTGAAATCATTCACGGTCAGCATTTTAACCCTCGAGCTATGGGGGCTCCCCATGTGATTAAATTATGTCAAGATTTCAAAAGGGGTGGTCAACCAGGAATATTATATGCAGCAAGAATTCAATACTACTACAAACAGTTTTAGTCCATTGCTGCCAGATAGTCAACACAGACATTTTCAGACAGTTCCATTAGGTGGAAGGCTTTTATCCATTTTCCAGTAATTTTCCAGCAGCTAGCGTTGCTCTGCCCAATGAGCTGGTTGCACTTCCATCACTGCACGCTGGCAGGCAGCTCCTGAGAACATGCTGCATCCCTCGTACTCCACTCAGTTACATAACCACCTCCCTCCTCTCTCTGGACTGATGCACTGATCCACATGATCAGCCTGCACACTCTCTGCACACACACACATTGCACCCACTGCTGTAATAACCGCCATCCATTGTCTTAAGTCTAAAACCCAATAGTCAGCAGTTCAGCGGCTCAACAGCTCCCATGCACAGACAATGCCCAGGCATTCACCAACAGTTTTATACGTTTTTATTGTTCCCTCTGTTCCTCATTAGTGTGGATCTGCATATCACTGAAGGTTTTGTTAAACATCCTTTACACACAGGACTCAGAGGCAGAGCTGCTCTGGAGGCAGAAATAAGCTCAGGCTGATGGGTGAAGCTAAAGAAGGGCAGTTATTCACAGCACAGGTTGGGTAATGGTAAAGTTGGACAACAAAGAACAACAAATGAAGTGTCAATGCTCTTGATTTTTCAATTTACTCATATAGTATGATGTGTATGAAGGCTAGGTTAACTAATCAAGATAACTGAGCATGGATAGACAGCTATGTTTATGCCAACTGCAGAGAGCTCAGTTTTAAAACATCTTCCTTCTCTTGTCATTTTCTCTGGACTTCAGTCTAACTTTGTCTAAACAGAAAAACTCCATCTGTTTAGATAAACTCAACCAATGAGGCCAATGAAGAGAGTCAGTATTTGGCTTAGATTTGGCTGCTGAACAGATTTCTTTCAGGCACTGCTGGGTCTCCACAGCAACGTCCCACCTTCCTTCTTTTTAATTCTGGACCGGCAGCTCACACAGCGCCTCCACTGCACTCTGTTTGCAGCTGGAAGTTCATAAAACTCACACATTGGGCATGCTATGACAGGCCCTGGGTGTGATATGAAGTCACTCAGTGCAGCCTGATAGTCCTTACTGAGACTAATTCAACATGAACTTGACCTTTTAACACTGAGCAGTGCAGGCTCGGGGCTGCTGTCGGTGAACCTTGTCCTATGCCGCCTGTTGCACCACCAAGATGAGCGAACCAAAATGGCCCTCTGACATTTCCACACAGGGTGTCAGTTTCAAGTGCTCTTCTGTTGCCATTGGCCTTTACAGTCTGCAGAAATGGCATACAATACTATAAAATAAATATATCAGTGCTGCATTTCAGATAAGTTTAAAAGCATCTTTTTATTTATTATCAAAAAAGTATGTAAGGCAGCACAACATCCTTGGAGCTAAGGAGGGGAGGGGATTAAAACCTGCACTACCTTTGAGCAAGGCACTGAACCATCTTGCTGCCTGTAGTCGACTAGTGATGAATTAATTGATTAGTCATGGAACTTTTGACAGGTTTTTCACTATCATTTAACATTTCAATAAATTGTAAAAATAATTATGTAATGTTTCCTGATTTTCTCTGCATTTGTAGAGCTGCAATAATTCATCACATAACATTAATCTGATAGATTACCTATCTGACATATCAAGTATGACAGATGTATGCCACTTTTAGAGCTTAAATGACTGGTTGATTGCTCAGTCAGAAAATGAATTGGCAATTATTTTCATAATTATAATATATAATCATTTGATGACATCACATAGGGCTCACATAGGTATGGAGCAATTGCCTTTACTTTGAAGGTAACAGACTGAAAGCTTACATATTTGACATATTAATCAAAAAAGAATTCCCGAGCAACCACTGAACATATTTAGATTATCAATGCAGTGTGTAACAAATGTATTGAGTCTTATTGCGTCATGAGAGGCTGGGTTCCTGCAGTGATGTTATTCTAACGAAAAGGGCTCACTGAATGCAGCAATGTAAGTTTAATGTGTGGGGCTGACTCTCAGTGAAAGTAGTTTAACGTAAGGCAGAGACTCTCGGTGATGGTAGTTTAACGTAAGGGTCTGACTCCAGTGACTCAGTCGGTTTCATCCATGCAGCATCTCCTCGCGGGCACGTAACATGGATGGAAAACGTGACAACCAACAAGTTCACTTCCTGTTCTCTGTTCAATGGTCTGAACCGACTCACACACCGTTAACAGCCCGTTAAGTGTCTTCACATCAGCACTGTAGCAGTTTGTTAATGGAGGAAGGATATGTTTGGGCTCTAAAATGTCTGTTACCTAACGTCAGACAATCCCATTTCCGATTATCCGCGTAGGGTCCAGAGACTAACAGATAGACTGTAAACGCTCACCTCATAATGACGCGCTTCCCCTTGACGTCCACCTTGTCCAGGGTGAGTTTGTTAGACAGAGACATGTTGCTGGTTTTGCTGGTTCTTTCCTGTACCTTCCTCGCTGGGGATCCTCTGCCTCCTTCGGCTGACGGCTAGTAAGACACCGAATGACAGCAGTGACCTTACTGAAGCACGGATGGACACCGGAGGGGCGGGGCAGAGCACCCTCCCCCGCAGGTGATTGGCTACAGCAGAATGACGGCCTTGCATTTGGTTGGATTCAGTTGCTGTTAGTTCTCTGACGTAACATTGTCGTCTGGTCATAGACTGGTTCTGATACAACTTACTGCAAGTCGCCCCATTTAAAATAAATAAATAAATAAAATAAATTATATCTACATACACACACACACACACATATATATATATATATATATATATATATATATGAATAAATGAATAAATTGCTGCATAAATGTATTTTACATATATGCATAGCAGGAGGAAGACAATATAACAAAATATCACAGAACTAAAAATACCATTAAATAAATAACTGTATAAAACACTAAAACATAAGAAAACACTCTGAAACATGTGCTTCACCATGTTTTCTGAAAGAGTAGCAGTTTCTCATTATTTTCTATTTTGGAGCTTGCTCAGGGGTGCATAAACGTTTTCCACATTGATTGAAAAAAAGTCTAAAATTGACCACATTTCCCTTACAGACAAATACATTTTATAGTCATTCACATTCATTGGATTTAACATGATAACAGCAAAGCATAAAATAAAGGAACAATAAATTCAAACATCATCTTCATCATAAAAATGGTGGGGTCATTGATTTTCTTTTCAAAATCCAGTCTAGCTTGAGTTTCTGTATCTTGACCATTGTAGCATTTATTTTCAAACTCACTTTCTGCTCCGATTGTCCTATCACACAATGGCAGCTCTCCCCTACAGAGTATTTCCTCCCAAGATTTAAAACTTACAGATTATATCATATTAGTAGTAACTTAATGTACAACCAGTGACTGAAATTCAACAAACCATAGTTAACATGTAGACAAACATAGCTCTTAACAAACACACATACATACATACATATATAGCGCCTACATACACACTTACATACAGGCAAAAGCCTGTGGCAGGAAGAGAGAGACCTGAACTGCAGCTCCTCATCCCCATTATACTCCAGGTGAACTAATGGGCTAATGGGCTGATGAGCTGGACTAATTGGCCGTAGCTCCTCAGATCCAACCAATAACGTGAGGAGGCAGGTTCCAGAGCTTAGGCCCACAGAGCCTGAGGAGCAAGACAACAAATACGCACGCAAGTGTACTTCATCATGACATGACAATGGAACTGTGTTTCTTTCTATCACAGATGCGCCCGATGCTCCAACTGTGTCCAGGTATCGTGTGCTCATTTGAGGAGTAGGATCAAACTCATGACATCTGATGACTGATTCTGTGGCTCATGTGGCTCACCATCTCTGTGTCAAAACCAGATGGATTCTTCATTTTCCTTGGCTCCCCAGCTAGTTAATCAACCTTGTTGTTGTCAGGGCAGTTTTTTTGCCTGATGCCCCTTTTTTCCACGCTTGAAGCTGGCACTGTCCATGTTCTCCGCCTCTTCCATTGAGTCCTCTACCTCTTTCTCACCCTCTGGCCTGGATCTCATACATGTTTTGTATGGAAGATCTTAATTTTGTAAAGCTATCAGATAAATGTAGTGGAGTAAAAAATAATATCTGACATGTAGTGATGTAGATGTACAAAGTGACATGAAAAGGAAAGACTCAATTGAAGTACAAGTAAAATCAAATATGCAATTTGCAATATTTTTTATTTTATATATTTGATCTCAAATCTCCGACACAACCCAAAGAACTCAATTACCATTGTTAACCTGCCTTGTTTTTTTTTGTAGATTTATTGTTCAATAAAGAAAGAAAAAAAAAACTCCTCCAGAGCAGAACAAACTGTTCTGGGACAAAATGTCAGAGAAGAGTGAAAAAGGTTCCCAGAGCCCAGCGCAAAGCCTTTAGATGTCTTGTTTTGTCCAACCAACAACCAAAACCAAAAGATGTTCTATTTACAGTGATATAAAAACTAGCAAAGCTTCACACTGGAGAAGGTGGAACTAGAGAATAATTGTTTTTTTTAATTTCAAAAATAGGTGGACGATCATTTATCAAAATTATGTCCATCAAAGAATAATCAGTTAATTTAGTGTTTCAGCTCTGTACTGAAGTAAAATTTTGAATGTATAGTTTTGTATTTTGATATTCTAGTCTTACCGTTTTTGCTTAGGTATAACATTTGAATACTTCCTCCTCCCAATTTATGGGAAAGATGTGTTATTTATGTACCCGTCTTAAGCAATATTGAGAATTTTACCGTTTGTTCTGCAGTGGCTTCATGTTCTCTGGCCACAGGGATCCCCCTAAATAAGGGTGAACGTGCATCAACCAACTCACAGAGGTTGGCAATGTGTTCTTGAGAAGTGACTTTGCATTTCAGAGAACTGTACACAAACACAATTAAGAAAATGCATGAAAAAATGGGTGCTATTAATCAATCAGTGATGGTAAACATATGCAAGAGTAAACAGCTCTTCAGTTTCCAGTAGCTTGCTGTGGGATAGAGTTGTTTATATGAGCAAATGTCAGTCTCTTAAATTGAATGGTGTATTTTAAATGTAGTATGACAGATTGTCATAGACTGACCAAACAGTTCCCCTTCATTAAAAAAAAAAAAATATCAATCCTCATACTTGGATGTAAATTTGATAATGACTTTCAACATTAACATGTCAACTTGGATTAACTACTGACTGACTGACTGACTGACTGACTGACTGACTGACTGACTGACTGACTGACTGACTGACTGACTGCTGGAGAGATTGCTGTGATAGATAATGGTAGCTACTGTACGCAGAATTCACAGCTAAAAGACGAAACAATTGTCAGTAGAATCACAGATAATTTATTTGAACAAAGTAACATGTTGGAATAAGCACAGGCATTCACTGTCTGAACACACAGATATTCATTATTCATCTGTACAACCAGAAGGTTCATTAGGCGAGAACAAGGTCTGTCATGGCGGCTCTTCACTCCTCAGCCTCTCTCCACTCTTTGGGCATGACCTTTCCGACTGGTGACAAATTCCAGGTGATGCCAGTCTGAGTCAGCACCTGCACAAAGACAAGAAACACATAATTTCATCCCAAAAAAAACTTATTTTAAAAAACACCAGCAAGTGAATGTTAATTGAGTTGCCCATTGAGTAGTCAGTAATACTAGAAAAGCACTACATAATTATTATAAATATAATATAAAAAGTCCATTTACCATTTTTGTCTCATTTCTGCAAATGTGACACCAGTTTTGCAAACTGTCATAAGTACACTTATATAAATAAAATACTAAGAAAAAATATATACTTAAAGACTTTGTCTTTCAATATACGTGTCTTATAAATATCTTTGACCTTAGAGCATATTTTAGGCTCTTTACTGTGGTAAAAATAATAAAACATTCTCAGACTTATGTACTTATTACACAAAGCCATTCAAGCTGTCAAAGTAAGCATGCTGAGATCGCCCTCAAGTGGTTATAATTAGCAGCTGACAGTCAGAGACAATTATCCAAACATATGTAATTTGGTAAATAATATGTTAATGTGTAATGTTATTTGTGAATCAAGAATAACAAACAAAAAAACAAAACGAATGGTCAGCTTACATAACATTTTCATCAAGGTATGACAGAGGCCACTTTTAGTCAAAATGTTGCATGTGCAAACACATTTCTCAATTATTTTATTGGTATTCTTAACAGCTTGAACCACTTTTAATTTTTCTTTTCTAGCTTGGCAATAGAAAATCTGTTTTTGCCAGCAAAAGGGAAAACTGACACTTTTTATTGAAAATTTGAAGGCGATGACATCAATGGAAAATAACTCCTGGACATAAATTCCTGATATTTTGTTCTAACAGTGATTGTAAAGTGAGTATAGATGTTTTTTATGGATGTGTGCAGAGGGTGTCAATTGACAGGTAAGGTCTAGGTTATGCATTTTTGTCTACGGTTTTCATGATACATTTTCTATATATAAAAACTATGAAAAAAATTAGAAAACTACAGAAACTGCAGTATAATCATGGAAATATCTTAATTCAAATATGACCTTCTGGTTGATCTTTAAAGTCATAAGGCTTACATGTTCACAATATTTCTGCATCCGTACTGTCCTCAGTGCATTACAATATGTGACTCTGCACTGATAATGTTTTATATACAACACCAATATTTTCCAGATTGCAACTGATCCCCCACACCCCAACTTCTTTCTCCTCCTGCACTGAAACCCTGGGGACATGTGTAGCATTAATTTATAATTGCTTAAAAATATGACCACTATTTAACCAGCACTCCTCTATATGATCAAGATGTCTGTTCAGGTCATACCTATAAATAAATGTGGCATGGACTGACACAACAGTGCTACTTACGTATGACCACACAGCCGTGCAAAAGACAGCTCCACCGATCATCAGGCCGGTGCCATACTTGGAGTGGAAGTCCTGGCTGGTGGTGGAGCCATGCCTCACCTGCCGCACGGCCTGACCTGGACGACAACAAAACACACTGCACTATTACCAACTTTTATCATTTATGACTTCACTTTCAAGCATTCCAAGTCCTCTTTATGGAGACTACACACACAAGGATTATCTAAAGCTGAACACTATTAAATGTAAAATATGCATGAGTCAAGATGCAGTCATGAGAGTAAAAAAAACATAAGACCAATGACCTCTGTTCTTTTCTCTTCAGTTGTCTTGTCTAGATTTGTATGCTATGTTCATGGTCATGTCAAGTTTTCATCTCTCTCATACGAGTGTTAACCTACTGATTGATAAACTCAGAATATATTATTACTAAAAAGTGCAATAATGTCCTGTGGAAACCAAAACTGGCATATATGCATTGTTACACTGTAATAGCTGTAATAATTAGTCAATTATCTAATTAGTCATTTGACAGAAAATCAATCACCAGCAATTCTGAAAGAATGGATGTCTGTGCAAGTCATACCGTCGTTATCTTAGAGCTGCAATGACAAATTGATGGACAGAAAATTAACGTGCAACTGTTATGATACAGGTTTCAGTTGTTGTTGCAGTTGTATTGCAAAAGTGCAACTGCTTTTGCTGCTTTTCTCTGTTTTATATAATTGTAAACTGAAATCTTTGAATTTTGGATTGTAAATCAGTCAATACTGGAGAGCTGAAGATGTCACCTTGGGTTTTGGAATTTTATGAACCTTTTTCACTTTTAATTCAAATGTGACCATAGCAAATTAACAAAATAATATATATTGGAAATTATGGTCACATTGCTTGCACCAAAAAGGTAATATTTCCCATCAGGGAAATGAACTATCCTATCACTATCACTTATTGGTCATATCAGCCCTCATTCCAAAAGCTGGGAAGACTGTCCTCATTTGCCCTTTCTTTATCACACACTCTAGTTTTGTGGGCACCATCTTTACAGTTTACCGTTGCCTAATCTTATCCGTGGGAAATTGATACAATTTCACAATTAACCGAAAGATGATAAATATTACAATCATATTACTGTGTTGGACAATGACACCTCGAAAAAGAAAATGGCTATCAAAAGGCTACTTCAAACGCAATAAGTAGTTTAATTTGTGGACAATAATTTAATACATTTAATTACACAAATACATGTGTTTTAAGACATATTACGACTTCTTTGGTGAGATGCTAATGTTAGCTGGCTAACAGTAGGGTGTTAACACGCAGACCGCGGTCACCGACCAAACAGAGGCCGGTCAAACTTGTGCTCGACTGAAATTGAACTGTCACCTGATCTAAATAGATACATACAGAATATATTTCTATGAAAACCCAGTTTGCTTACCAGTAGCGTTAACTGCAGCTTTAGCAAACCGGTACATGTTGTTTCGACTAGTGTCTTCAGATACCCTTGAAGAACGGAAGTGTAATGGCTGCCGCACGTAGACAGAGCGGATATTACGACTGTCGAAATGCGCATGCGTCGAAAAAAAACTACACGTTTAGTGCGTAAATGGAAGCGACATGTAGTAAGACAAAAGACAAACATAAAGTGGATAAGTAGTTATTTGTGTTACAAATACTACAATTTTTATGGCAACCAAATTAATGTTTCAGTGTATCATATGCGTGTTATAAATAAAAATCAAACTCAATGACTCTTTCTACACCGTGTCAGGATGGCCGAGTGGTCTAAGGCGCCAGACTCAAGGATAAGCTCCTTCCGCTGAAACGGGACTTCTGGTCTCCGAATGGAGGCGTGGGTTCGAATCCCACTTCTGACACATACTTTTCTTTAGTTGGTTTACGTCAAAAATATCGATAAAACTGATAATATTCAGTACTTATTCAAATACTAATATAAGGACGAAATATTTCCACTGTTCAAGAGTCAGATTTCAAGTGTGCATATAAGAGTTTCTACTGTATTTACATGCCTTAGTTTTTGGTTTATTCTAATTCGCAAATCAAATAAAATTTGGGAGATGCTTTAATAATACGATACACTCAAAACAAAAAAATAAAACCCCGAATTACGTATTATTCACCTTTATCATCATCTGAAACCAATTTCTGTTTAATATTTTTCATAAAATAAAAGGTTACTGTAAATTAACTTTTGAAGAAAGGCTCATTTTAACGACAGTTTGTTACAGGGGTTGTATTTACTTCTTTCCACTTTAAAAATCAACAAAATATGCAATTCGCTGGCAGAGCTGGCCAAAATTTTGCATAAAACTGTATTTTATTCAAATTCATTTACTGTATAAATTTCCCCATAATTTGGGGACAACAAGGATTTCCTGGATGCAGGTAGTGGTGGAGTGAATTTTACCAGGAAATTATGAGGTGTAGCGGCTCGAGGGGGGGGTTCTTGAAAAGAAAAATAAATAGACTAGCAGGTGTTCATTTTGTAATTTTCTTTATTAAATCAAAATATCATTCAGGATAATAACGGTATGACAGTACCATGACATTAATTTATGTATGTACATGCATACTGAAAATGTTCCCTCATTGAATCTGTTTTTATGGAAAGTGGCCAATCTCTCCAGCTTTTACAGGATGATGGTGGCAAAGAAAAATGTTGTTAACAGATTATTTAACACAGCACATTTTTCTACGGTCAGAAAAACTAACTTATTCCACATAACTTCAGAATTAAAAATTCACAATATTTCCTTGCAAACAAAGCCTCTGCAGGAATACACTGAGACAATAGTAGAAAAGCCTGTCACTCCAACTTGGACTGTGAAATATTGCTGAAAAATGATTTAATTAGCAATCAACATATTTATCTCTTACCTAGTTGTCATCAGACGCTTTCACCTAACTTATGTCATTTCTCTGTACTTTGAACTTTCTGACACTTTTCCTTGGCACCATGTAATGAACTACAACCGTTAACATTAAAAACATTACTGCATGTGAATGAGGGCTGCCTATTTAGTTGTTTTTACTCATTTATTTTTGAAAAAAATCATTGCACATTACTTTTGTCCGACCTACTGTCCAAATCAAAAGGAGATTCAACTTACAATTTAGAAAAGCAGCTAATTCTTATATTTGAGAAACTCAAAACTCAAAAAAACAGAGAATGATCAATATCTTTACTTGATAAACGACCGAAATGGTTAATCAATTATGAAAATTGGTTTCAGTTACTTAAGGGGTGTCAATAGAAATGAGCACTGAAAGTCAGACATTTTAAATCTAGTTTAAATGTACAGGACTGTTCAGATCAGCAGATCCATGTGATGTGTTGGAATGTTCCAAACATCTGAATGTCATCATCCTCTTTAATTGTGAAGAGCTGAGAAATATCGTCTCTTATATAATGGTGATTTAGGCTTTAAGCCAGAAAGGATACAACTGGCAGCTTGGTTACAATTAGGTGCAGTTTATTGAGAAAAAGTGCTTTAAAAGAGATATGGTTTGCATTGTTTATGTGATGACATCTTCAATGTCTAAAAATATTTACCTCAGCTCATTAGTGTTTGGTCCAATTAGCTGCATTGGCTCTCTTGTTAAAGGAAAATTATGTTGTTGTTTTTTTTTTTTTTCAACCTGGGTGTTTATTACTATGGGTTGTGCTAATTCTGCACTCGCCACCCCCGTTGTAGAGATTCAGGAGACACAATTCAAGCAAAACGTTGTATACCAGGGCAAACAATGTGAACCTCCCAGAGCTTTCAAAATAAACTTTGATTTTACATACATCATTTCAAACATTTGTCTCAGAATCCAAGCAAAAGTAAACAAACAAATCTTGTAAGCTAACCAAAGTATCTTTTAGTTGGACTCAAAGACATTGTTTGAAGATGATTTCTATCAACAGACGGTGGAAAGTGCAAATTTAGCAAAGCACAATAGTCAAAATAGAGACAACTATGAGAAAAAGGCTCAAGTTGAAAAATACCAATATTTTCCTTTAAGTTGTATTTTTCTTAACTTTGAATGAAACTTCCTGAGATAATTAATTTCAAAACAAAGAGAGCTGAACCTTGAATGAAAGGAATGTGTACAACCAGCAATATTAACAAAGTGTACATCAGACCTGTGGATCACGGATCACCAAACTGATTTGACGAGCTGTAATTGAGGTGGGCTGAACAAAGCTGATCTCCTTCTTAAAACCTGCAGGACATTTAACCATCAGCAGCTTCATAAAAATGTTGGAACCAGTCCTTCATTTTCTTGAGTTCTGATTCTCCACAACAATGTAAGGATCCATGTTTAACTTCATAAAAAGTGATCTAAACTCTAACAACGCTGCACTACTCTACATCAGAAATCAGTATATTTAGCTGTTAATGCCATCTAACCTTCACATAACATAAATGGAAATTAATGGAGTTCAGTCGGCATATATATTCCAGGACTGTGATGATCCAAAAATACTAGAATGCAAACAGAAGATGGAGGAGTTTTCTGTGAATGGCCCTAACAGGAGGCAACCAGCATCAAATTACAAACAAACATTAAGGCATCTGTCATTTTTCCCTCTTGGTCACTTTTCATTGTCTAGTCCGCCTTTTTGTCTTTTCCTTCCTCGTCGTCTGTGTACTCTGTGGGCTCCTCTCCTGGTTTCAGAAGCTTGCCGACGTAGTCATACTTAACTGTAATGGATGAAAACAGTCAAGGTCTTTTCATCGTGTTTTGTACTGTAGCTTTTGTGGAATTTATTCATGTAACATTTTTCATTTTTTGTTTTTATCACCTAAACCATAAAGTTAAATATTTACTGTCATTTTTGAAGAAAATTGCAACATGTATCTGTTTATTAACTAACAAGAGAACTCTATGAAACCTAACTTGGTGGAACTACAGCTGAAACGAATCATTATTTTCATTACCGATTAATCCAACCATTTTTTTTCAGTGACTTGATGAAGTTAACAAAATGTCAAAAAGCAGAGAGCTCAAAGTAACTGAGCTAACTCAGTAACTGTCCATCTGCCCACTGCTCTTTACTAACTAAAAATAATTATATTCGTTAACACTCAGAAATCAGGACACCAGGAATAGGTGTGTAAAATATGCTTCAAATTCCCACTGGACAGGAAAGTATTTTGGGGAATAAAATCAAATAAAAGGAATAAATTATAATGTTTATTTATATAGCAGACAAATTTCATATGGGGATAAATAAAGTCTGTTTGTCTGTCTGTCTGTCTGTCTGTCTGTCTGTCTAAAAGGGAAAGTGAGAAAAGATCAAGTGATATTTTGGCCACAATAATTGTAATGTGAAAATCTGATACAGTCACATCTCCACTTACAGGTGAACTGAGTCTCCCACTCAGAGAGACTCTCCTGCTGCATGGCGTTTAGGTCGGACAGGTCGTCGTGTTCGTCTTTCAGGGCCTCTTTCTCCAGACAGAACGTAGCCAGACCTCTGGATGCATCTCTGCCTGCAAACACTCCATACGGCCCCTCTGCAGGACAGACAAGACACAGAGGGACAACATGGTGGGGTGAATGCACAGCAATAACAGCAGCAGCAACGATGGCAGGTGGACAATGCTAACAACTGATCATTGTTAGCGTCATTTACATGTCTCGCTTTCTCTCTAGTGGCGTGATGTTGAGCTATGCATCTGTTTGAGGGGAAAATTTGGTGATATCCTTTTTTCCCCCATGAAAACATCAAAACCAACAATGTACTAACCCTGGTAAAAAGTATTGCCTGGTTATCAAACCCTGATATGTTATTCCTCTGAGCCAAAGACCAACATTAAAACAATTAAAAACATGTAAATGAGCCTCACTGTTGCCACAGATAGGATAGGGAAATAAGAATGTTTGAGAGATGGACTATCACATTGTAGGTTACAGTCTTTTCATGGTGTTTGTTGACAGTAAGAAATATATAAAATATATTTTAATTATAAGGCTTCTTAGGTTCAGACATTTGGGATATTTGCCTTCTGAAAAACAGTAAAAGAATCACTGTGTCATTTTTATATTATGTCAAAATTCATTTACATCATTCACATCCAAAACTTTCAAACAATACCCAACACTAAATGTTACAAGTTTAGTAACCTGCAGCAGCAATGAGTGCTGTCAAAGTTTCCCTGAGCAAAACCCTGAACCCATTGCCTGAGGACAAATTTTAAATTCCTGAAATGGAGCAAACCAATGTAGGATTTCAGTGGGCGCACAGTGTACCAAAAAAGTTTGCATGACAGTCATTTATCATGTTGGTCAGAGGTCACATGCAACAGAGGTTACAGTCTGAGATAAGATAAAAACAGAGAGGTCTAACTCTGTATCTGTTTTCAGCGAATAGAAATGTCCCAGTGAAGCATGGCAGAACAGATTCTTATTTCAGAGATCTGGAGAAATGGAAAAGGTGCAACACATGTCTCTCTAGTAAAGGTCTACATAGATTTAATCTCACTGCTACAAAGAATAACAAATATAACAGCCACATATTAACTGCAAAGTGGAAAGACATATTTCAGGCGTCCATTCACATTGTTAGGTGATTGTCTGGAATTCTTCTTTATCTTGGATCTGCATGAAACTCTCCCACTTCAATCATCAGTCCAAAGGATTAAAAACCGAGTTACAAAATATCTTTTTCTTTGATAAAAAGTTCAAAGGCATAACCTCATGTATATAAAACTTTTCAGGGGATGAGTTAACTACGTCTCCCAAGGTGCATCTAAACACCAAAACATCCAATCATAGAGCTAAGATTCTGTCATGAGAGCCACTGACGTTGAGTGAAAGATACAGAGGGGTGACAAAACTCACCAATCTGCAACTGAAATCAGTTGCAATATCATAGCTGATTTCAGAACAGTGGAAGTTGAGACACAGGCAGCTTGACAAGGACACTTGTCTGTAGCCAGCTATAGCTATTCACCCAGCTAACATCCCAGAATTTTCCACAATGTGCATGAGCAAACAACCAAAAAATGCTGCTCTCCCCTCAGCTTGACATCTGTCAATTAAAAACCATGTTTTGTAATTTCCCAGAGTGCCTGTGGAAAAATTTGTTAAATTACCAAGGAACAGAGTGACCATTACTTTTCCCAACCCTGCCTATAATTACCACAGTTTACCAAAACAACAAAAATGGACCAAGTATGGTGAGCCTGTTCGAATGGGGTTAACATAGAAATCACTCTATAGTGTTCCCACTCGGTACTCACTATACAGGGAATTAACATCATCATCCTTCTTTTTGCGCCACTTTTGACACCTGTGGAGCCGCTCAGTGGTAATCTGCATTGCGGAATCGTTGAGGGATATAAAATGAATATACTTACGGAGAATTCGGACACTCAATTAAAAATGGCGGACAGTGAATTTGGTGCACTATATAGTGAACAGGGAGTGATTACGGACAAGGCTAGCAGTTACACCCACATTCCCACTGCATTTTTGAAAACACGGAGTAACTCAACTTCTTCCATAGACGATCTCTGGTTTCAAGGCTACAGCAGCTCCTCTGTTGTGAAATGCGATCTCAGCTATCAATCTAGAGGGGGTGTGGCGTTAGCGTCCAGTTACAAAACTCAACTTAAACATTTGCCTAACAGCGACTTATGGTCGATAATGTTACCGGTGAATGGCTGTCGATCAATAAATTTTAACACAAAACCAATGGCCACTTCATGCTAGCTGCCGTTGGTAACACGAGAGGGGCGACGAAAGAGTTTGTAACATCTTCACGCGGACGGGTCCCGTAACGTTACCTGGCCCGTAAAACTTCTTCCCCCTGGTCACGTCGAACACTTTTCCGTTGACAGCCATGAGGATCCTCGGATTCTGCAGTCCATCGTAGGGTTTCAACTCTGCCAGAGTAAAATCTCTCTTTTTCAGTTTAGGCAGCGGTTTTTCCAACTCTTCGAGTTCCGGCGGTTTGTCCCCGCGGAAGATTTTGTACAGGAGGAACAGGCAGAGGCTGAGCAGGGTTAGGTTCAGCGGGGAGGTGAAGATCTCCTGAAAAATGCCACCAGAAGTTACCTCGCTTCCCTCTTCTTCAGCCATGTTTGCTCCTCTCTCCCTCTCTCCGGTGTGTGAGTTGGGGTGGGACCGGTGGATCTCATGGATCCTGAACCAATCGCTGCTGCAGCCTCACGGGCAACGGTTAACTGTTTAGACCAATCGAACTCTTCTAACTGTGTGACAGATATTGCAGTATCCATTACAAAGTGTATCAGCATATACTGCTATTTCTATTATTTATCATTTAATATACATATTGAGATGTTCATTATTTTGAAGGTCCATTGATTATTTGTTTGCTCTATAAACTGTCGTAAAAAAAGTCAAAAATAAATAACTGAAACAAGTTAAACAATAAATCAGTTATCATTTTTTATTCATTTTGTGTTGATCGATTAATTGATTAATCATTAAAGCTCACTCTGTTCTCTTAATCAGTAAACCCAGCAAAAACTAATGCAGTCTATACAGTCCTACAGTCCTATTACAGATCCTACCTCCATGAAGGTATAATGCTCAGTTTTTGTTGACACTGTTAAAGATCTCAGAGAAGAGAGAAGAGCTCTAAAATGAACCAGTGACTTTAAGTCCTCTTGATTGGATGGGATTCGTGTTTTTCACCAGTTATCATCACATCACTCAGGTGGGCGGTTCTGTGTGGCTGACTGATATTCTCATATTGTGATAGGCGTCACAATAGCAATTGCATTTTAATATAGTCATACAATATAAATGAAGGTGTGTGTGTGTGTGTGCGCGCGCGCGCGTGCAGTTTCTCTTTCTGCTTCCTCTCGTTTTCCTCTCCTTTTTCTGTCTCATTCTTTGTCTTCCTCCTTTTCCATCTTCACCTGCTCTTTTGTCAGTTTTTATGGCAAGCTCCTGTAAAGACAGCATATATTTCAATATTTCTCTTCCAAACAAACTGTTTGAATCCAACAAGGTGTTCAAATCAATGTGATCAAATCAATATGATCAGCTGACTTGGCATTCCCTGAAGTTAAGCATTTTGCTGGATCAGGAGCTCGATGTCCTCCACCACTCGGCTTGCCATGTTGAGCCACTTCTCCACCATCTCTCCACTCTGCATGTGCAGCTCCAGCTCAAACCTGAGACAATCCTCTAGAGTTTTGTGTTTGGTTTTCGACTGTCCTGCTCTTGTGGATCTCCATATTGTTCTCAGCTTAGCCAGGTTCTCCAGATCTGCCTGTACCAGTGCCATCATTATATTTCTGTCACTGGTGATCAGATCATCCTTTTCCTTGTTTAACCTGATTCTGCTCCTGATGCAGAGTTTTCAGCTAGATGGCTAACAATCCACTGGTTTTTCCCCTCTGCTGAATCAAAGTTTGTCTGTCTTCCAGTACTGTTTGACTGGCTTGGCCTAAAGCCATTGGAAGCAGAAATCCTTTTTTTATTTAATTTTCCTGTCCATTTCCCTGCCCACAGTCTCAAATTGTTTGCAGGCTCAGACTACATTCCCCTCCTCGCAGGAAACAGAGTTGAAGCTAAAGTGTCCTTTTCATCTTGCAGCTTTTTTTTTCTTTTTTGATCCCAGCTGAGTCACTTGCTGGCTATTTGCACCCTCAGAGCAGGATTTTAGCAACTTGTTCTCTGCTTTAAAGTCAAGCAGGGCTTGTTGCAGGCCATGCAGGACTGCTGGAGTTTGCCGATATTCAGTATTCCCTTCCCAAGCTTTCTGTCATTGAATACCACCAAGACAATTATTCCAGACATGATGAAATACTAAATAAATACCTCTATTTTTATTCTTTAAGGGTTATAGTGAACAGATTTCACCATAAATAGTGTCAGTAAGGTTAAATAATGACATTGTCAATGGGATAAAGAACACTTCTGTATAGAGCCACAGAACTACATATCACCTGCATTATAAGTGTATATTCTGTGGTTGATGTTGGTAAAATCGAAATGAGAAATACATTCACTGTCATATGACCTGAGAGCAGATCAGCTGACTCACCAAAACAATGTTCCTATCAAAGCAATTCTTTAAGAAGATAGATCTGTTTTTTTTTAAATGTCACCTTTGAGCTATATATTGATGAAGAGAAAATTGTAAATAATTTTCCATGCTAATAGAGTTTTTTTTTAAATGAAGTTCTGATTGCTTAATTAGGATTTTATCTATTGTATAACACATCAGTAAGAGAAGGCCACCAAAAAGTTGGTCAAAAAACATTTAGAAAATAAGTTCCACATAAAGAGATCATTTCTAAAAAAAAAAAAAAAAAATCTTTTTCCAATTCTTAAATGTGTGATTCAATGTAGAAACATACAATAAGTGAAAACCCTAATTTTTGCACTAATTAGACACTACAAATGTTGCTCTCAGTTAGCTAACTTAGCACCATTGCCACAGGCTGCACAGCCAACTGGGCTTCCCAACATCCGGTGGTTGTGTCATGCAATTCGGGCACTTCCTTCTTGCAAACCGCTTCTCCTTGCCTCTGTGGTTCCCACCCAAACAAACAAAGCTCAGCTGGATATTTTTTCCCCTCAGAAACGTGAACCATCTCTCTCCTCTGCTAGCCGTTTCCCATCAGCTAGCTGGACTTGTTTTCAGAGAATGGCGCTCCTGTATACCGCAGACGATGTTTACCGTCTCTGTCTGTAACCTCATCCAACTGACGGCTTGCTTGTAATTTCAGCCATTGCGCAACAGTGTCGGTGGGGTTAACCTAGCTAGCTGCCACTCTACAGCAGCAGCCGGTTTAGCAAGGCTGGGCAGAAATGACGAGCGGTTTGACTGCGACCGTCTTCACTTTAAATCAGGTGTGGTAACCACGGATGACAGACCCGGTTTGGCTCCTGATGTTGTGAAAGATTTGTTGAGTCAAGCTACGTACCAGGTGAGTTTCCAGTATTTGTGTATGGTGCTGAAGTTAGCTAGGCTAGCTCTCAAACCCCAGTAACCAGTAATGCTGGGCTGGTGTTTTGGCCATGTCATGTTGAGGTAACTGAACGACTCATATTTTTACTTAATTTAATCAAACTCAACTATATATATTTTTGAAGTTGAATCATATAAAGTGACGATAACAATCCGCAGAGAGGACAGCAACTTAACAGCTTGATACAGCTGAAATTTTAAGTAAACAGTACGAAGTGAAACAAATCAAAAGGTGAGGTTATATATCGAAAGCTAGCGCTTGTTGCTTTGTAGTTAATTCACTCATTTACAGTTGTGCTGAAGCTAACTAACTCAGTCTATTAAAACATATACATGTTATTTTATTAGTTATTATCAGGTCGTTATGTGTTTTATTTAGTCACTTCTCAACTGCAAATACAGCTTATATAACTTTTACTGCTCTTTTTATATGAATTTTTAATTTATGAAGTGAATACATGGGTGTTTGGATTGTTGGACAGAGAAATCCAGCTAAGTAAAACACTTACAGGAGGCATATGGAGCTGCAGCAATAAGTTGATTAATTGTTTAGTCGATTGACAGAAAAATAATCGCAAACTACTTCCATAATTAACTTATCGTTTGAGCAGTTTTCATTTAAAAATGCCGAAGGTTTGTGTTTTTAGCCTGTGAAGTATAAAGAGTTCCTGGTCTTCTCTATTTCATAACATTGAGTATCTTTGACAAAATGAGACAAAACAACCACTTTGTATTGTAATGGCTGTGTTGTCACTATTTTCTGACGTTTTATAGACTAAATGATTAATTGTTGAACCAAGGAAATATCATCAGATTAGATGATAATGATAATAATTGTTAGCTGCAGCTCGAATTATTTTTTTCTAAACAGTGAGTGAAGAGACTAAGTTGTGACTTCAAGATTTTGCAGTTTGGTTTCACTTGAAAACATTTCATGTTTCAAGTATGGGATCTTATCATGAAGAGATTTGTGTGTAAAATGTGAAAATACACCAGTTAACTGCAGACACAACTGATATTGAAGAAATAGACAATAAGAGGAAGTGAAACGATTTGTAAGTAATACCAGAAATATTTAGAATTTGGCAAGCCCTAGATATCATGAAGGGTTAGAGCACATGTGTCATAATTTTCAGTCTAGAAAATGATTATTTTCTGTTTCTAAATAAATGCAAATTGTGTTTAAGACTTAATTGTTATTTTCACTCATCTGCAGCTGCCTCTTAAATTAACAACCCCCCCAGCCCCATCTGTTTGCTTGTCCTGGGCTTTTCAAAACTCAGTTACTATGAGTGCAATGCGTGTGGATGCCAAAGTGGTGATGCTGGGAAAGGAGAGTGTGGGGAAGACCAGCCTGGTGGAGAGATATGTTCATCATCGCTTCTTGGTCGGCCCATACCAGAACGTGAGTGTCAGCTGCTCCGCTTTAATTTCCATGTCTGCCCGTTGCTGATTCCTTCCCTGACTGCTGCCTAGAAGAAAAGTATTACTTTTATATTTATCCCCGAGGATGTTGTGCTAATAGAGGCTCAAGTCTGGGATCATCATCACCATAAAAGCTCTGATAGAATCTCTGGATGTAGTAATGTTGCAGTTTGTCTCTTTTAACACATACCGCATTAGACAAGGGTTTATGTAAGTATCTTACATATTAATGTGGAAACTATTCAGTCATGCCTCACTTGTGTCCTGTTTAAAAAATACACTGTAATAGTTTTAGAAAGTTGACATTTACATTTTGCTTCACAATAATAACCCACAATGACAGTTTTTTTTTTTTTTTAGAATTTCAGAAACATAAAGTCCATCAGAAACATACATTTCTCATTTACATACTGTAAGTTCTCAGTAGTTCACAGTAGGGGGAAAGTAATTGGGTACATTTACATGTATTACAAGTATCTGTTATTTACTTATACAAATACTTCTATGTCACGATGCTTCAGAGGGAAGAATAGCATTTTTTTCTATAATTACTAGTTACTTTGCAGATTAAGATACTACATTAAAAATATATGTGTATAAAGTGTATGCATTGTTAAAGATTAAATTGGTAGTTCCCAACATTTTTGTCTTTACTAAAAATCAGGATCTACTTCCCTTTTTGTAAAGTACTTATTCAGTCGGCCCATGTTACATTTCAGATGTCCATGAGTTGTTAGCAGCCCCACCAAAGCCTTTCAATAACTGGGAGGCACGAAAAGGTCAAATTATACACAATATATATATATATATATATATAATGTACTTCTGTAACAGTACTTAGTTTTTTCTTCTTTTCTTTCCTGTGCCATTAATCACCTCACAAGCCCTCACATTCATCTTGTGACCCTTTTGAAGTACTAAACTACCTAGCTCTATATAAAGTAGTTAAAACTGAATCCACCTCGGCCACTTACAACAGTAAATGCTGCTTATTCATAGCTGTATCAGTAACGATCTTAATGTGATTTTTAGTAGTTTAACTGAAAAAACTGCATGATAACTAGTTGTGATAAATTGGCCCTTGCCCTCTTTTGGCAGTTGTGTACAATATCTATTTTAAGAAGGGAACAATGTGATGTGCACTTCAGATAGCACACAAGTATCAGTCTAACCCTACTTCATCCTGCCGCCCATTAGTGCCCATTTAGACTGTGGTCTGTGAATGTTCAGACTGAGAGTATCCACAGTCGACAGGGACTCCATGAGTGTCTAATGCTTTACTGCACTTGATTTCTCTTCCTGACAGACTATCGGTGCTGCTTTTGTTGCTAAACCAATCCAGGTGGGAGAGAAAGTGATTACCCTCGGCATATGGGTGAGTTGGAGGCCACATCATGTGAATTTGAGTGTTTGTACTGTAGCCAGGTGAGATGTGAAAATGTGCCCCCTATAACGGCCTAATAGCAAGTCACATCACATCAGCTCCTTTCATCCTCTTTAAAAGCACCACAGTGTATTCTGCCTAACAAAATCAGAGAGTAGTAACTACAGTAACACTGAAGTAGAGTACAAAAGGTTTGAAGTTAGAAGGCTCTTACTCAAACTGTGTGACAGATAAAAACGCTGTAAAACATATATTTTGTGCCTTTTATACAGATTATTAATTACTGTTACAGACAATAAAATGGGTTTTCGTGTTTCTTCAGCTCTCTTGTACATTTGAAATAATTAGCAAGTTTAGTAAATTCCTCTTTCATTAAATACAGTTTCAATATGCAATTCCAAGACAACATCAAATCACGTCAATCCTGTGCTAGCTAGGCTAGTTAACATTCAGCAGGACTACTAAAACTTGTGTTTTTTCTCCATTATAATGTAAGATTGTCAAAAAAAAGAAATGTAAAAATGTCAAATTCTGTCTGTTTGAACAAAGTACGTAGTCACTGCATTTTGCCTTTGTAAGACAGTATTAATATCTGTAATATTATTCTGAACTTGAAATGTTGCATTCTCATGCATACAGTCATTTGCACAACAATGTAACTACTGTACATACAGAACTAATAGCCTCTGTCCAGCTCACTGTTTAAATGTGATGTCTGTCAAGGAAATAACAGAAGGCCAGTTTCAGTTGCATAGCTGTGAGTCAGAGGATTTAAATACTTACGATGATATTTTTATCATATTTACATAATGATTTACTTGCAGTACTTGCATATATTTGAATCACAGTTTTCAGTGACTCCACTACTTTGTAGCTATGAGGGGAGATTAACCTGGATACAGACACATATGACTACATTTAACAGAGTTTAACAAAGTTTAACAGGAAGCACAGTCTTCTCTCGCATATCATTGCACCTTGTATAGAAGGATCGCCATCTCTCTTACCTTCGTCCCACTCTTCTCTTCTCTCATACTCACCCAGGACACAGCTGGATCAGAGCGCTACGAAGCTATGAGCAGAATCTACTACAGAGGAGCTCGGGCGGCCCTAGTCTGCTATGGTAAAACTACACTGCTTAATCATCTTATGGAGAGCTTTCAGGTGTCATAGCTCAAGCTCTGGTGGCAAAAAACAGCCCAGAACAGCTGTAGGCTTCTCTAAACTACCAACTTCACATGCACATGTAGCTGGCGTTCACCTCCTTAAAAATGTCTTGTTAGGATGTTAGGATTGTTACAGTGGCTATGGTTACTAGATAGTCTGTTTTTTTTACCTGCAAGTTTGTGATGCTGGTAGAAACTGTTGATAGTGAAGACAAGACGGAGCAAGTTGAGGAATGAGTTATCAGTTATCTGCCCCATTTCTCAATAACTTCTGCTCACCACTATCACAGCCCTGTATCACGAAGTCAATGAAAGAATGTGGACACAGTTACTGTGGAGAATATAATTAAAGCTTGATACAGTCTGATCACACATAATACCTTGTGTGACTCCAGGATTGTACTGCTTTATCTTTCAACATATCAACACAAATAAACTGAATTCATATCATGCTAATAAAATGTTTCTCTCTGAATATTCCTTTTTCAGGTTAAGATTTGCTACTTTACACATTTTCTAAATGGTCTTTACGTCTTTGCTGCAAGTTGAGGAACTTTGCCTCTTACAAAATAGCCGATGGCATTTCCCACTGGATTAGTCACACTCCTGTCATATTTTATTTAATATCCTCTTTTTGGTCTGCTGGCCTTCTTCTTGATCTTCCGTCGTCTTTCTGTAGAATTTATTCCACCTGTGTTTTCTACCCTGTTTTTTTTAAACTTCATCTGCACAAATTAGTAATTGTTATCCCAAGTTCCGTTTAATTACATTCAATTTTTGACCATGTCCATTGTTAAAAATTGACAGAAGTGGTCAGAATTGTTAGACTGATTGCGGATTTCAGTTAGTTAATACTACACTCCTTCTGCTTCTCCTTTTGCATGCTTGTGTTTATTCACACATCTGAATGAGAATATGGAATCCTTTGTGGAAAACTAAAAGTCTATACATATCTATCTCTCTCTCTATATATATATATATATATATATACACACACACACACACATATCAAACTACTGTTGGTGACTCAGCATGGTTGCTTTGTCATTTTTGTCTTTCAGATCTCACTGACAGCAGCAGTTTCCAGAGAGCTCGGTTCTGGGTGAAAGAGCTGCAAAACTGCGAGGAAGTAAGAGAGCTTCTTTAGTCTTAAGTTGTATGTGAGGCACCAATTCACTTAGTAACATTGTTCTTGTTTTGCTTTGCTTTTTTTGTCTGTGTTGTACACTCCAGCACTGTAAGATCTACCTGTGTGGCACGAAGAATGACCTGATTGAAGGAGATCGGAGTTTGCGCCAAATCGACTACCACGATGTTCAGGACTTTGCTGAGGGTAACTAGAGTCTCAATGTTATATACCTGCCCTTATCTCTTGACCTGGTGGCCTGGTCAGCAGTTCATTTTTCATTTAGTTAGTTGTTACTAATGTACTGTGTGTAATTAATGATACATTAGTTTCCTGCAGTCTTAATTAAGATATCTAACTTTATAACATGAATTACTGTCCTATGTTTACATACACAACATATCCATGATATCAATTTCATTTTATTGTATTATATTTGTATGTGCACTGCAATGTAGTTTGTTAAAATGCTGTATAAGCAATCTGTTTAATGATATACTTTCATTTTAGAAGTTCTTCTTTTTTTTTTTTTTTTACTTTATTTGGGCTGCAGCTAATCATTATTTTTGTTGTTAAGAATTTGTTGATTATTTCCTTGATTATGTTTGCATGCCACTCAAATGTCTGCTTTCTCTTCATTATAAATTAATTTCTGAATTATTTTTGACAGAAAAATAGACTAAAAATTCACTGTCTCAACATGCAGCTGCTAAAAAAGCTATTTATATTTTATCATGTCTGTCAGATTCAGCATAGACATTGAAATTATAGTGAAAGGTGTCACTTTTATGTAATTTTGCTGGTATCATGTCAATATGACTATCAACAGGTCTTTTCTCTGTCCCATCCTTTTGCTGGGAACCGCATGTCATGCGTGTAAGATAGGCGAGACGCTGAATCTCTAGACCACATGACGCAGCCATGAGACGTGAGACACGCTTCTCACGTGTGTGTCACGCAGACAGCGTCTGCTTTAACTTGTTGACATGTGCACCGAAATGAAAAAAGGAGGTTAAGGTTTTATATTGGCCACATAAGGAGTTTCTACCAACAGAAACTTAGCTGCGTTAAAAGTTAATCTTTGAACCTGGAAAAAATGGAAACAATGTTCTCCATTTCCATGGATGTTTCTGAAATTGGGGAATAATTAGATTACTGAAGTGCTTGTAACCTTGTTAAAGAATATTAATAAAACCGTGACCTTTGTCAGCCTCTGCGTAATCAGTAGGAATTGGCACATGGACAAAAACTTCTGTCCTCTTGCACAAGTCTGTGCCTCAGCCTGACATCTAACCTTGATGTTTTTGTTGCTTTCACAGAGATTGGTGCACAACATTTTGAGACCTCCAGTAAAACAGGAAATAACGTGGGTGAGTCACAACCTCAGTCATCTGCAGACTGCATTTAACACGTGTGGTAGGCTCCAAACACAGCTGTATTTATTCATGGTCTGTTTGTGGGGTAAGTGGGTTTCCCTCAGAATTGTAGCACTAAAACCCAAGATAGCTGTTAATACTTGGTTCTTAAGGAAAAAACATCATTTAATACCAGTTTAAGATGCACAGAAAAGCAAAACACAAACATGACAAAAGTCAGTAATCAGCACAGCTGATTCCCTCACTAAAGAAGTCTGCACTGAAATCTGTTAGGCCACGTGAAATACTATTAAATACTATATAAATACTAAAGCTTGTAAAATAGGAGGCTGTCAAATCAGTCTTTAAAAAAATCTTTTTTTCATAGGAAGCATAAGAGGTTTTTAAACCCTTCATTAATGCACTATAATGAGCAACACTCAAAGTGCTCTACATGCAGCATTTGGATACATATGAATGACGAGATTCTAAACTGTCTTGTCTATTATTGCTTATTCACTGTTGACCACCATGAAATATAAATTCTCTTTATAAATCATGAAGAAGATGAGAAAATTTAACAGGATTCACAAGAAGAGAAGCAGGTTGACTGTCCCTTGCTCATATAATGGCTTCAACTGCAAACTATGTTTTAAACTCCATCGCTGATGCGGCCTGTGAGAGAACAGAAAACAGTCTTCTTCCTTCAGAGCATTACTATCCAAATCAGCGGTGATACTGTTCCCTCTCACACCAGGTGCTGAATATCGCACAAACACTGCCATAATGGACACTTATGTCTAAAAGAGCCATCCAGTATAAATGTTGTCAAGGATAATCAGCTTCTGCACAGAGGTGACCAGCAGTTGTGTTTATCTACTGACAGTCTGCTATTCATTTCTGTTCTCTGTAGAGCATCCTCTTGTGATTATATCTCAAATCAACAACACTTTACGCTGTTGTAACCTGTTAGAGAAACATGGACACAGGACTGCGTTTCACCTGTGACAAAAAAGCCAAAGATACTTTTTTTTAACCATGGATCTTCGTTGGGTTCTTTTTATTTGTGAATTGAAATGTCATTTTTAAAGATTTTATTTATTATTATTTTTAATGTAGGTACACAGAGTTTAACACAGACATTTTACAGTACGTTTTTCTGCAGTTAATCTTCTTTTTTTTTTGTTTTTCTTTTTGTATGTGAAACTGATACAATACAGTATTTAGGACTGGATCTATGAAAATTATTTTAATTATTTAGTTTCTTGTAATAAAGTAAGGTAATATTCTGTCTGTTGCTCACAGCGATCTCACACATATTCAGTAAAACAGGTATCACTAATGTGAGTGGACCGGTTTTTATTGTGCCATGATGTATGAACTAACTATTCTTCCTCTGCTTCTCAGATGAGTTATTCCAGAAAGTTGCTGAGGATTACAACAACACTGCCTTCCAGTATATGACAGGTAAGTGTTTCATGTACATACGCCCCTTTTTTTGCATGAATCCTCTCTCTCAAATGGCATTTAGAGTTGTTAATTGGTCACAGTGTATATTCAGAGGCTGTATGAATTGCCACAACAACAACTTTGACTGACTTACAAGGGTCTGATGCTGGTGGAAATGGTTCACCATAAAGACAACATGAAGGACTTAAAAGAAAATCTCAGTAATCTGCTGCTTTTCACAAAAGCCCAAAGTATATTTGAAACAAACAAAACCTTATCTTTCTAAAAGTGAAAGTGGGCAAGTCCAGAAAGGCAGGTTTAGATTTAGGTTACAGTTGTAAATATTCAGAGCCATCTCAAAATCTGAACGGCATGCCAGGATTTGTGTTGTATTTACTGAGTAACCAAGCTTTGGGGTGGCACAGAAGTGGCAAATTAGTGGAAATTGATTTTGTATAGCAGAAATACAGTATGTGGTTCATTGGCAGCTACAAATAAATTAGATGGGCACTAAAATGGATCCCTGGGGAACACCACATGTGAGGAGCCAGATGTGGAAGAAAGACCCTCCACATGCAACAGAAATATTTCTGTATACACATTATGAGCAGAAAAGTAGTTCAGATCCAGGGGCTAAAAGTATTATTTGAACATTTTGGGAAGGGAGAAGATCAGTACACTCATACAACATATTGCTTGAAATAAAGCTACAGCCAGAAGCCAGTTCGCTTAGCTTATTGCACCTAGCCAGGCCTAGCTCGCCTGGCTCTGTCTAAAGGCAACAAAATCTGCTTTCCAGCACCTCTAAAGCTCACACATGAACATGTTTTATTTTGTTTGTTTAATCTCTATAAAACCAAATTGTAAAAACAATGAGTAATGTGTTCAAAAAAAATATCCGAGCAGCTGCAAGGGAAGGTTTTCTTCAATGTAAAAGATCCATCGTCTGAAACTGCTGAGTAGAAGATTTCAAACAAAATCTCTCTCTGTTTCAGCAGAGGAACCTGGCGTCGACTTGGGCCAGAAGAAAGACTCATATTTCTACTCCTGTTGTCACAACAACTGATTCTGAGCAGCGGGAAGGGAAACACAAGTGGTCACATTCCCTCAGCTGGAGTCAAACCTGGAAATGCTGGATGGGCATCAGATTTTTTGCTCTGGATCTGGTATCCAAGTGACAGAAAAAGAAATCAAACGGTACTGTTTATACCTTGTTAAATATGTTTATTTCTTTTGTGCCATAAAGAACTGTGGGCTACAAAGCTTTATAGAAGAGGATCCACTACGGCTGCAACTGTTACTGGGTGAAGAGGGATTTAAAAACCAACACTTCCATCTTTCACCCAGTTATGTCCTGTGTTTTATTCCCACATCAGCTGGTCACCTCTCTGAGCTGGACCATATCATGGAATAAACATATGCCTAAAGCTGTGCTGTTAAACAGTCTGAAGATGTGCTGTGGTTAAAAGATGATCTGCAGTGATGAGGACGTTTAAATGGTACTGACAGGAAAGAGGGATCTGACTGAGTCCACAGTGGCAGAGAAAACTTGATTGATGCTGTTTATTGTTGTAGCAAGTGCAGTGCTCCGGGATGGTGAATGTTTTGTTTACAGCATTTAATTTTTGTTTACTTTGAACTGCAATTTACCTCATTGTGGAAACCCATTTGTTAGGCCTGCACATCTTAAATGAAGCCTACACCAATGGAGTGAATCCAATGAGGGCATGTGTCAAGAAACAAAACGAAACGCTCCTATGTTCTCAGCCATACTCCGTTGAAATGAACACTTATGAAACATTGACAAATCTGGTACAATGCATGAATGAAAAGATACCAGTGATCTTTATAAAGGCCTTTGTATCCACAGTAGAAATGGCAGGACCACGTGTGTGTTTACCACAACATTACAACAACTTTTGCCATGTGACAACTATGGATGTATTAAGAGAGCTGATGAGCCCCGCTACTGAGCCTTGCTGCTGATTTGCTCCTGTGGCCACTTGTGGTACTGCAGTGCAAAAACATTAAGCGGCCCAAAAAGCATTTTTAGACCACTAATATAAAAGAGACATCTCAAAAAACATTAAAGCTGTTTTTAGTCGTGTGACACCATCCCAATATAAAGTCCACGCAGCCAGCGAGAGAAACACTAATACTCGAGCAGTGGGCCACACAATTCAGGGGCACACCTGGAACCTAAAAGACATTTTTGGCTTATGCGCTTTCCAAGTAATTTTTCATTGAAACAAACAGGCGCCATCTTGGAGTGTGGTATCCAGTTCTTATAATACATCCATGCTGACAGTATGTACAACATGTATCTGGTAAATTATCTTTTGCAACATAAGCTAAGATTCTGTCAAAAGGAAATAAAAGCTGATTTTAGGTGATGGTTGCTAAAATGTCAAGATCTGTTATAAAACTACAAGACCTAAACTGACTGGAAGAACATTTGAAGACAGTTTCCTACAAGTTCTATTTTGTAATTCTAAATGGCATATGTGGTATGGTACACATATGGAAATATCAAATGATCTTTCTGTCATTTCTTGCAGTGAAATGTTCCCTTGAAGATGAACTCTGAAAGGTTTTAGGAAAAACTCCACTTCTACAGAAATGATGATGATCAATGTTCCCCTCGGCTTTGGTGACAAACTGTCGATTTAACCAACACAGGAAAAAGCCTTGTGCGTGAATGTTGTAATATGATACAAACTGTCATCTCTCAATGTTCTCAGAACAGTATTTACATATATATTTAAGAGTCAAGTCACTAATTTATTGCCTTTTAAGTTGTGTTGCCAGATGTGGGGAAATAAGTGGACACAATCTCAGTCTCCCCCATGTTGCTGCTTTGATGTGTTCATGTCATATGTGTTGATATTTTGATGCACAATATTTTTATTGCAGGCTGTTGAAGAGAGACTGGTGTAAAATACAAATATGTAAAATTAAAAGCTTATTGAAATAATGTTTCAAAATTCTGATGGACCTTAAATTTTACAGTAATTTTTCTGCCCTTGTGTATAATATGAGCTTTTTATGCATTTCTGTGGAAAAAACTGGCAAAAATAATGGCAATATATTGTAAAGTGTAAAATCAAGGGGTATTGCGAATCATTACAAATCCTAGCATGAATCCACTGTGGCCTGAATTCGAGGCATAGTGAAAACTTTTGTATTCAGTTAAACTTTTTCAGCAACTTTTTATTATTCCACTTGCAAAAGTTTTTGCTGTTTTAAAATATCTCATCTCTATAACATCATCTCATGTTGTCTGTCCCCACACTGAAAGAAAAAAAATAAATGAAATAAAAGCTTGTGCCTCAAAAAGGGATGTTACTATAAGCCAAATAAAATCCCTTCAAACCAGTAAAACTGTTGCTGGAACAAAACAAGTAAAGACAAGATTAGTGTTCACAGTTGACTTTTCCGTTCTGTGGTAACTTGTTTAGCTCATCACCTGAACTTTCTATTGCAAACTATTTTCAAAATAAAATAGGTTGAGAGCGTTTTCAAAAACTACAATTGGTGATGCATTGAGGGACACTCAGACATGTTACACTTGATTATCATTCGCCAAAAAGCAGGAAAATCATTTTATATGACATTAAATAAAGAAACAAAATCATGTTATAGGGGAGCTGCAGGCTGAAAAATGGCTTCAGAAGGTATTAAAAAAGTAGAATTTACAAAAGTCCCATATTTTCTCTTGCCTTTTAACATTAGTTATATTTTTTGTACATGTTTGTGGGCCTTCAGGAGACTTTAAAGTCAAGAGTTTAAGTCAGTGTCATCAGACCCAGTCACCATTGTGAGCTTTAGAAGCTATGAGCTCACTCTCTGATAATGGCCAAATGTCAATTTTAGAAAAACCTAAAGAAACTTAAATGGATTCATTATTTTTAAAATTGTTAAATCCATCAATCAATTTCTCGATATTTCTCCTGCCTGCATAAATTAATTTAAGCTAAATGACGGGTTAAAATGCCATTATTTTAAAGCGCTCTGTATCTGTATTCAGCCTTCATGAGTCTGAATGTATTTCTACATGTTTACACTCATTATGAGTCTGGCTTGTGATTTATGATTTATTTTTGAACTTGAGTTGAGCTATTTTCTTTGTGTGTGTGTGTGTTAGTGTTGAAGAATTTTATTTAAATCTCTCCATCAATCTTTGTTGAAGCTGCCTTTTCTATTATTTTACCCATGGTTCACCCACACTGGTGTTTTTACTTATTGTGACTAATCACGCCTCGTCTCTGGACTCTGTGGGTGTGAAGAAAGTGTGCTTGATTTACATCTCTGATCTCTCATGGTTGAATCCAAAAACAATTGTAACGTCTCTGGAAACATTGCTGTAAAAAGTGAAAAATAAAGTTTACCACAGCATCTCCACTACATGTCTCTGTTTGATTATCGGCTAATAGAGATTTAACTTGGTCCCAGATCTCAAATAGGTCTCGTCTTATGAAACAATTGACCAATCAGAGGTTTAGTAAGTCAGACGCATTTCCCATGGGCCCCCCTCTGACTGCTTCCTGTGCCACCTGGCATCAGCCCTGGATAACAGGTAATGTAATGATTTGAGGATGGCCATTGGAAACAGTTTCTCCCAAACACAATAAAAAAATATTGTGTTTTTCCAATAAAACTTGTGTTAATAATTTTGCACTGGGAAGGGCATTAACTATCTACCATCATATTTTGTCTACTACAGACCATGGCTTTTGTCCAGCAGTGGCACAAGGATGACAAACAGCAGAAATTAATAATTAAATGTGGAGTTATGAGTTTATTTAGTTATTTATTTTGTATTTCATGCCTTGTACTTGCATTTTCTCTTTTATGGTGTGTTGTACAGTGTCCTTGAGTGCCTTGAAAGGTGCCTATAAATAAAATGTATAATTATTATTATTAACATCAGCAGGTGGTTTATCAGCTCAAGGTTTTCACAGGTCACAGGTCAATCCTTGAGCTCATGTCAGTGTTCAGCTGCAGGATCAAACTGGAGCTGTGGGCCCTGCCCTGGGAGCTCCGTTGTTGAAAAAACATTGTTGACCGACTTTTAATACATTTTAAAAGGACATGGGAGATAAATAATTGCATTTGTGCACAGTATATCTTCCTGAAATGTGGAATTATGTGATTTAATTAAATTAATTTAAAGCCACATGACTGGGATTTGAAAATGTCTGACCATCATCAAAATAATTGAAAAGATGCTGCAAAAAAAAAAAAAAAAAAAAAAAAGTGGCTTTAATTTTATGTACAGATATATGTTTTCTATGTAGTTTAATGTTAGATCAACAAATGAAAAAAGAACAAGGCCAGCACAAAGTGCTTATTTTATAACTTCATCTTCTTATATATTTATATAGCAGTTTACTGGTCAATGGTTGAGATCAAACAGGTCATAATTACACTGGAATGAAACATTGCTTGTTGGGCAACTGTAAAAAGGCATTATCAGGGAAACTTGGCTCTCACGGGCGCCAAACCATTCCTTAAAAATATCTCCAAAGAAATACACTCTAAGGCATTGGCAGATAACACACAGACAATATTATAAGCTTGAAGACAGAGCGAAACGCATGTGGCAAGAACACATACTGAAGTGCAAGCATCGTGGCAGAAGTCCGTCGTTTTCGTTATCCAATCGAAGACTTTTGTTTCCCCTCGGTGGAGAGTCAAGAACGAGGAGAGGGAGAACTAACACCCCCACTCACGCCCGTTGTCATTTGTGCGTCACAGAATAATATATAAACAGCATACACACTTGAGTCAACTTAGTGCTATCTCTGCATTACGACCACCAGCAACCACGAGGGCAAGACTGAGTTTTCGTTTTACTCTACCAGCTTCTACCGGAGCATCAGTCTGTGCAGTCCAACCTGCCTCAGCCTGACTTATGGAGCTGCTAAATAACCTACTAGCTTCTTTATCTTAGACAGTTTTAGTGTTCCATGATGGCATAAATACTTTCTCTATATCTTTCCCACCCTGACATGAAGCCTGGTCAAACACTGACTCCATGTCAGTTTAGGATCCTTTTTTTTGGCATGAAATGGTCAAGAGAATATTTCTTCCTCATACTGGCTTCTAGCAGCTTCAATCCAAAACTATCACCATCACTGTCATCTGGCACTTTCACATTTTTATAGATGGTCCCATCTTGAACCACCTAATGATCTGAGGCGTGAAGAAGAAGTGGAAACGAAGGGGAGAGCGGTGTTAATGGAAGTGACGACTCCTGCACGTCAGGTCGTCCGTCCTGGAGGGAAGTGGATTCAAGTGGTTGTGGCAGGTGATATAGACAGGAGTGTGCGTCCAGTAAAATAACACAATCACTGAACTAAGTCCACTGACCACACGGACAAGTTTCAGTCCAGCAGAGGCTGGTTATGTTTCATTTGGAACAGTGTTCATGACTGAAAGCACAACCTGACTGAAACTGGTTTATTTACAGACAAATTCATGTTTTTTTTTTCTGATACTTTTGTCACCACAGCCACCATCCAACTGCAGCCATGTAAATGGGGCCAGTGTAATTCCAATGTAACCGGGTTAGAAGTCTGTGACTGTTGGTAATCCTCCTGTCCCAGGATTCATGGGCTGCAGAGTTTAGTCCCCACCCCGACAGGAAGCTAGTCTAGTCTTTTCTTGCATTAAACACCAACACACCAGATACAATAATTGTCTCCAACTACATTTAAGCTTTTGCAGGTCAACTCGCTGACATATATGACACCTGAACTACTACTCAAAGAAATACCAAAACAAATCGGCAGGTGAAATTGGTCGAAATGTGAGAAAACAAGTACATCGGTGTGAAATATGTTTACAAACGCCAAGTTTTATGTTGCAGTTCCAGATTAATTTTTCTCTGTCAGATCTCCCATATGAAGGTGCAGCCAGTTTGTGCAAAGTCACTGTGTCATGAACTGCCTCGACAGCAAGTGTGTACCAAGGTCAGGGAACATGGAGCCATTAATAGGACAAAACTAAATCAATAAATCCTTAAATAATTTGTGCAACTGCCGTGAGTCTACACAGTATTTATTCTGTTTATTTAATGACATCACAATTTATTTATGAACTGATTTTAGTGTTGTCCTAAAAATTTTTCCGTACGTGCACCTGCACACTGGATACAAACAGTGACAGACTGGTCTACTTGTGTAATGCGATCAGTTGATCGCCAAGTGTTTCCCCACTGCAGCGACTGTGATGTCTTGTTGTCTGACTGCTTGTTCTTCCTCCATGTACTGTGCCAGTATAAATAATAATCATCTGTATGTTACTCCTCTTCTTCCTCCTCCTCCTCCTCCTCCTCCTCCTCTACCTCGACCTCCTCCTCCTCCTCCTCTACCTCGACCTCCTCCTCCTCCTCCTCTACCTCGACCTCCTCCTCCTCCTCCTCTACCTCGACCTCCTCCTCCTCCTCCTCTTCCTCTTCCTCCTCCTCCTCCTCATCATCGTCGTCGTCGTCGTCGTCGTCATCGTCGTCGTCGTCGTCGTCGTCATCATCCTCCTCCTCCTCCTCCTCCTCCTCCTCATCCTCTTTGATCTCCAAGTATTCCAGCCTGGCCTCCTCCATCACCGCCTCTCCATCCTCTTCATGAGGATCTGATTTCTCTTCTTTCTCACTCTCTTCCACTAACTCCTCCTCCACTTCTGTCAGAATTTCCTCCTCCTCCTCCTCCTCCTCTTCCTCTTCTAAGACGTCCCTCTCCTCCTCATATGAAGAGATGGGCGAGTAGTGCGGGAGGTCGAACGCCTGCGGGCTGCTGGGAGCATCGGAGCTGCTGGGGGGAGGCGAGGCGGCAGGAGCAGCGACAGGTATGGTGATGGGCACCGGGATGGAAAAAGCAGGAAATGACTCAGAAGCACACACGTCAGCGCCGGCACTGCTGTCCTTGGCCCTCCTGGCAGTCGGGGTCAGATTGGTGGTTGCGTTAGAAGCCGTGGCGGCAGGGATGACGGCCATGCCCAGCCCAGAGGTCAGGGCTCTGGGTTCAGGGGTGTACTCTCGGATCTCCCCCGGTTCCAGCGGTTCAGGGCCGCAGGGGTCGTGTTCACTGCAGGACAGCTTACCGTCCAGCTTGGAGATGAAGAGCAGTCCGTCGCGGTGCTGGCAGCAGTAAGAACTGGGACACATCTCGCAGAAGGACGCCGCATCTTTACCGCATATGTCGCACTGGTGCCACGGACATTCCCATCGACCTACAATACAGAGTTAAAAAGTTACAAACTTTTTGAATAATGAACTTTATTTTCTGTAACACAATTTATGAGTAAAAGGCAACATAAAAGCAAAGCGTCATATCATTAAAAAACAATAAAAAAACAATAAATAAAAGATAACTACAATAAAATAGGATAAAGTTCAATTTAAAGACAAGATCAAATAACTACAAAAGTAACTGTGACAAACAAGTTGACTTTGTTTTAATGTCTGGAGTTTGAATGTATGCAAGTTATCGAGAACTAAATATCAAATTAGCAAATTATTATTATTATATTACTATTTTAGTTATCCTCATTTCTGGAATAGTTTTAGTCAAATATACAAATATGTGCCAAATTTAGTGATGGAAAGTATTTGTATTTAATGCTGCTTTATAGTTTATTTCAGAGGGAAATATTGCACTTTTTAGTACACTACATGTACTTGAAACAAATATGGCTACTGGATACTTCAGGAGGATCAAGGCTTTACATACAAAATATGTTCATAAAATATGATGCATCGTGGCGGATTGAACTAGCCAGCAGCATAAGAAGCAGTTAAAGTGAGCTCCACCTCAACTGGCCACAACAGAAAATCAATAATGCAGTAGAACATGATAGGCGTCATTCTGCTCACTAATGAGTATTTTAAATCCTGACACAATGTCTATGCAGAAAAAAAAAAATATTTTCTTCTTATTGACATGATTTGTTTTTTAATCTACCCATATAGCTTCTACCACACCTGTGCACTCTACAATGGGCTCATCTGACTATCCAACTAAAACCCAGTTCCTCCCTTAACTTACTAAAATGTATTTGTTTTTCGTTTCTTTACTTATCTCCTATATCTAACTGATGTACACATTTTCTCGTTAGCCACTTGTCGTCTCAGTTTAATGTGTCACATTTAACAAAATAAGAGGTGCAAGTGTTTCGCCCTTCTTTCTCTCTGACTGCGAAACATCCCAAAACGCCAAAAACAACTTAATTATTCTTCATCATGTTTCCAAGGAAAACTCCCCCCTGACACACAGGAAATGTCCAGCACCACCGACTGTACCAACATAAACACAAACAAACACCAAAACCACCTGCTGTGTTACAGCGTCCACGCAGAGCCACTGACCTGCAGGCCTCTTGGTGAGGTTGAGGCAGTCGGCGTGGTAAACCTTTGGACATCCGGGTCTCTTACAGGAAACCATCTGTCCTCCGTCTCCGCAGCTGAAACACTCGTCCTCTCTTTCTTTGGTCACCACCACCTTGTTCTTCTTCTTGCCGTGGCCTCTCCTCTTCAGCTTCCGACCCTTGTCTTCAGATGGAGGGTTGTTCTGGTTGCGGGGGGGGTGGGGGGGGGCACAGGTTGATGAATAGCGGTAAAACAAAAACCTTAGTGGTGCTTTCATTGTTGTTCGTAACTAAAGCTAATTTTTATGAGCTGATCTTTCACCCCAACACTCCTTCACCTTCTCCTTCAGCCACCGAGCAAAGAAATCGTCGACACAATTCCACACTTAACTTGTACCTCAATGAATTGTTTAACAAACCGAGTAGCATGTAATTTTACGTCGCCACCCCTCACCTTTGGCCTGACGCCCAGGAAGCCGCTGCAGTTGGGTGCTCCACATTTACAGACTGTCTTCCCGTTCCCTAAACACTCCAGGTTGTAGTTGAAGGTAAGCTCTGTGCCTGAACAGACACACACAAACAACTGAAGGAGGCTGCAACTTCATCTGACTAACTCGTGCTAGCTGAATTCACTACGAGGCTTCAGCAGTCTAATAACAAACCAAAAGACTATTTTAATATTTTAAAATTTCTCAAAAAATAAAAATAAATGTAATATCCACACATACGGTTCCATCATTTACTTGTTTTCTCCATTTAACAGTTTTTTTTTCCTTGTTGCCCAAAGTGGATTTAACATACGGAATAAGGAAGGCTTCAGGGTTTTCACCTGTATCTTGCAGTATCAAGTATCTTACATATCATTTCATGTAGAGAACACATATTTCAAAAGTGGATGCTCAAAATATGACACCAGGAAAAGTGAATGATGTTACTGATCGTTGTTGATTTAAAAAAAACCACCCGATTAAAGTGGTCCTTTTTTTATTTATTTCAGCACTAGATGAAGCGGCGTACCTGCAGCAACGTCGACGAGAGCAAACAGTCCCACCCGGGTGTCTCCGCTCACCGTCCACTTCTGCGTCTCACAGTTCGGCTGACAGCTGTGGTTCATGAAGCGAGCCTCGTTCCCCTTCGGCCCAGCATCGATGATCCGGTCCTAACACACACACACACACACACACACACACACACACACACACACACACACACACACACACACACACACACACACACACACACACACACACACACACACACAGAGACGTTATAATATCTGCACTCTCACTCTGTGCAGCATACAGTACACAGTACATATTCTTAACACAGTTAAGTGGGCTCTACTTTCATGGTGCCTCTATGAACGAGTTTGGTATTTTTCCCTGACCTCGAAATTGACTTTGCTGATCTGTCTGATAATTTAGTGCTTGGTGGCAGTACACGTTGGAGTTCCATTTAAATGAGGCACGGACAACAGAACAGAAGCACATCTGTTTCTAGAGGAAAGTCACTCAGGTGGCAAATTGGCGATTCTGTCATGAAGGACAAACTGCACCACAACTATGGAAGAACGCTTGAATAAGCTATTTTTCTTGGGTATTTTCCTTGCCTTTATTTACAAACAGTAGAAATAACAGGAAACAAAGCGAAGAGAGACGTAACACAGGTTCCAATCCGACTTGAATCAGGGCCTTGAGGGTCATGGTCTGCATACTTGCCCCCAAGCTACGGGAGCTCTGTATATATAAACAATTTAATGAAACACTCTCCAGCCAGTAGATGTGTTAAGATCAGAACCTGAGTGAGGTCCAAATTATAATCAGTCTAATTGGGAAGGGTTTTGTTTTACTTCCACCAGTCTCGCGTTTGTTCAGGTTGAATGGATTTTGGATCGAGTCTAATTATCCTCTACTTCTATCTCTATGTCAGGTGGGATGACAAGAGATCGGGTTTGTTTATGCACGTTGTGTTTAGGTAAGATTTTCCATTATTACCCACTTAAAGATACAAACAGGAAAGCACAGTTATTATTCCATTTTAAATAACAAAAGTCAGACCAGTTTTTTTTTTAGTTTTCTGTTTCAGGCTCAATAACTGATCGAATGGATGAACATTTTTAAAACTACACACTGATAGTACATTCATATCTGAACAAGCATGTATGGTTGTGTATCCATTTATAGCATTAGTACAAACTGCAGTCAGTTTGTACCTTGTCCAGAGTTAACATGTAGAAGTTACAGATGTCGTTCTCCTGCGCGTGTCTGATCCTGGACCTGCACTCCTCCTCGTCGATCACCTCTCCGACGTACTCGCTCACAAACTGACCCTGGGAGAACGACACGGGGGGGAAAGTTCATTATTTAGCCTGATCCAGTTCACTGAACAGCGGCCGCACCACCTCAGGGAACTTCTGCACCGGTTGATGTAGAAGCGCCGGCGTTAATAGCATTAGCATTTGCAGTGCTATTATTCACAGTGTTGTATTTACCTTCTTGATGTCATGGACGCAGCGGAGCCCCCAGCCTCGGGACAGAGTCCTGAAGATCTCCACCTGGCTGTATTGACGCTTGGTGAACGCCTGGTTGAGGCAGCGTTCACCTGCCGGGCAAACCTGCAAGTTCAGAGGGTCATCATCAAAATATATGAGTCATATATGATGCAGGGGTACTTTACACCTGGCTGGATCAAACACACTGCAAGAGAGCAAAGGAAGCCATTTAAGACCACACTGTAATATTTTTATATAAAGAGTGGATCAAATGAAGTCGTAGTAAAAGTTTAATTTAGTCTTGATTTGTGAAAATACTGTCCGCTGTCAACGTGCTTTATAATGTGTTACCATGGAGTTTCTTAAGTATTGTGTGGGTGTGATGGAGGCGTTTCTGTGGGTACCTGTGGGTGGCATTCGTACAGCAGCATGCGGTTGATGCACTCTGAGTCCATCCCGCACGGGCTCTCGTCTGTCGCCTTACAGTTACAGCGCGGGATCTCTGATAGGTCGGCCGTAAAGATCTGAACCTTTCCTATTGGACGATTCACCTGAATGAGTCAGAGAGGTGGAAGCAAACATGAACTCTCCTCTGAACAGCAGACTGAACACATTCACAGCTTGTTACTGAGTCAATATATCAAGTAATCTTTCAGGTCTATCAGACTTGATATTATTTAGTGAAACGTTCCATTATTTTGTTTTAAGAATACTAATGCTCAGTAAAAGAGCCTCATTTTGCTTGCATCAGACAGCAGCTCTCCAGAGGATACTTTCCATTTTAAGTGCAGCAAATTGGCCTGGTTGGACAGATTTCAGTGATTCTTGGAAATGGCGTTATTGGATAAAACCCAGCTATGTATCTCGAAAGCTAAAGTGACGGCTATAATTTAACATCAAATTTTGGAATTCAAGCAGATACGACGGCTTCGCTTTTGAAGAAAACTTTCGCAGTATTCTGGACTGAAGAAAGACAAAGGTGGATCGCAAGTCTCCATCCCTGACCTTAATATGTTTGTACGGAGGGGGCTTCCTGTCGTTCTTCCTGTCCTCTTGAAGCTGCCGAAGCTCCTTCTCTGCCTGCAGCTCTCGAAATCGCACAGCTGCCTCCTCCAGAGCTGAGGAGGAAGATCGACAGCCAGAGAAGTCAAGTCGTCACACAAAGTACAAATTGGAGACAAAACAAATAACATATGAAACACTACATTAAGGGACAAAATTGACTTAAAAAAAAAAAAACAAATGTCGAATTCCACTTTCAGGATCTGTTAAAGAAGCCATTTTGCCGAGCGCACTGGATACCTTTCTTGTAGGTGGCATCGACACCTTTCCCCATCTTTTCTTTGCTGTTGGCGTCCACATCCATATAAGGGAAGACTCTGGCCTGGTAGGTCCACAGGTAGTCGTTGGAGCCAAAGAAATGAACAGGGAACTCGCCGACATCGTGCCTCATCCGCTGGATGTTCTCTGGGATGGTTTTGGGATGGCTGACCTCCGCTGGCCACCACCTTTACAGCGGTGTGGAAAAACACACACAAAAAAAAAGAGAACTGTACAACAATGGTGGACTAAGGTTTTAATGAAAAGTATCTGTTTACAGTAATTATAGGAGTCATCCTGCATCTGTCTCCCCCTGATCTGTGTCTGTTTCAGATTTCTCATTATCTGTTCAGCCCACATCTGTAGGAAAACAGAAAAGGTTGGTTTCATTGGAGCATGATGTTGCTTTATTCTTAAGAAACAATGATAAAAAGTGATTAGTGTTGATTTTGAGTAATGATGAGAAAGGCTTTTGGTATGATGGGATAAAGTAATTTGTTGTTGTAACAAGATGATTTTTCTTGTTAAAATCGAATAATTTGGGATGTAGAACAAGCAACAATCATTTTCATTATTGATTACCATCTATTATTTCTTCAGTTAATCAATGAATCTTGAAATATGAAATGCCTACGTAATGTCTCCAGATGTCTTTGTTTTTACGATCGTAGAAGATTAAACCAGAAAATATTTACTTTTGAGAAACTGGAATCAGTGAAGTTTTATACTTCTTCTTAAAAATAACTGACTAGAGGCTCTGTAAGGCTGTATGTGATGACATCATCACATCAGCATGCTAACATGCTCACGATGACGATTTACCATGTCTTCTTAGCTTAGCATGTTGGCATGCTAACGTTCACTAATTAGAACTAAGCAATTAGCAATTGCCATTAGTTTTGCAGGTAGTTCAGGAATCACTGAACTAAAGCTGCAACTCTTAGTGAATTAGTTGATAGAAAGACAATTAATCAGCAACTATTCTGACACTGAATTAATGTCCTCAAGATTCGATGGTTCCAAAATCTCAAATGTGAATATTTGCTGTTTTTTTTTGGTCTAACATCATAGTAAATTGAATATTTTTGGGTCTTGGATTGTTTGTCAGACAAAACTTTTTAGAAGTTAGTGTCGATAAAAAAAATAAATCCCTAAAACATATCTTATTACACAAGAAAAGAAGTGTGTTACAAAAACAGAAAAACTGAGCCTATATCAATAGTTTCTCCAGCTCGCCCCTCACCTGTATCGCCCAACTTTGACCCAGAGGATGTCCTTGTAGCGAGGTTTCTTCCCAGCTTTGCAGTCGTTGCAGTACCAGCTGCCTTTAGGCATCTCAATGTTCAGACACTCCCGGTGGAAGGCAGCAGGACAGGACTCGCAGCACAGCAGACTTCCCCCTGGAGCGCAGGAGGAACAACAACATTGTTTTCACTGCTGATTGTTGAAGGATGTGTGCTTAGCGTTACCTTAGCGTTTGTTTAAGTCAGTCCTGCCCATCACCACATAACAGACAGACGCAATTAGTGACTAGCTGGTGAAAAATGTTTAGAGGCTAAAGAGACAGATATTATACTCATGAGAAGAGTAAATAAAATATAAATGAGGAAAAGTGAAACTCAGAAAAAAAGTCAGACTATCCTCCCTTCAGGATAGTCTGACTACCCCCTCCCCACCCCCAATAATTTTAGCAAATTTTTACATGATCTGGGGCTTTAATAAATCTGGCCAGGTGCAGCTGAAATTACTCCTAAAGCCGTACCCTCTGTGCAGACGAAGCACCAACTGACGTTGACGTGTTCGTGGTTCTTGACGCCGCGACGGGGGGTGAAGTGGTTGGGACAGATGATGCTGTTGTTGGAGAGGACAACACTGCCCGCTGCCATGCAGAGGTCTGTAGCATGATAGGCCACTGGGCAGCGCACGCACCGTACCAGACGACCTGCAGACAAGACCGAGAGAACAAACGGACAGTCAGGGCCGCGGTCGGAGAAGACGACAAAGGTGGCGTCCGAACGTACCAAAGCGTCCTCTGTTTACCTTTAGAGATGGACACGCTGTTGGGATTGGTGATGAAGCAGGTGAGGCAGACGTGGATGGAGCAGCGGAAGCCTCGGTTCACAGGCGCAGTCGGGGCGAAGCTGGCGATACACTCCCCGTGGTAAAACTTCCCACACACGGGGATCATGCAGCGCCGCACATCCTCACTGCGCTTTTTACATACAAAGCAGGTGTGGATGCCTGGGAGGAAAAACAAACATTATACGAGTAATTTAGTCGTTGTGAGTATAAATTTTTAAACCTTACCAATACATGTTAGCACCATCAGATAAGACTTTACTTTTATATTCTATATTTATATTAGACATCTATTACAACAGAAATACACAGATTTGTTTGGATATTTTTAAAATTTGAAAACCTGTGTCCCCCCAACCTACACTACCAACCTCTATATCTCCATAGAAACAAATATTACAGACAATAATGAACGATAAACTAATCCATCAAAGAGACATAAAACATAAAAAATTGTGTCTGGTGAAAACCTGCAGTAGTAGGTTTCACCATAAATAAGAATAATAATAGGCACACATTGACAGTGGGTTTTATCAGACAGGTACAGTGAGTATACAGCTGATACAGGACACGTTCATAGTCACTATCTACCTTCACCATATTGTAAAATCTGCTGACTACAGTGTTCAAATGTCAGTGAGTCACATGGACCCATAATGCAAGCATTTGTGGACTAGTGTGAGAGATCTTTTTTTTCTCTCTTTTTTTAAATGTATCCAAAAATACAGAAATGATAATCTCACCATAATCTCACCCAACAGTCATTCGTTGGATAACTGTTGATATCGTCCAGAGCTACAGATTGATATATATATGATTGATGACAGATTGAGGTTTGAGGATTGAGATGCGTTTGTGGAAAAGGCTCAGCAGCATCTGTACTGCCTTCGTCACTAGAGAATATTGACAATGTTTTATTCATCCTTTTCATTTATTTGCTGGTTTACTTCCCTCTGGTCAAAAGAACAAGAACTGATTGCAAGTGGTTGTTAACCTTGGCTCTAAAATTACTGGCAACACAAAAATATCCCTAGTACAGCTTCATTACTGACAAGCCCTCAGAAAGGCGTGTAAGATCAAGATCAATGACCCCACACACGTCTTCTATGAATACTTGAACCTGATGCCATCATGCATTTTAGATTACCTGCATATAAAACAAGTAGAAGGTTTTATTGGTTTTATTCCAGAAGCCATTAGACTTGTGAACAGCCACAGTACAACAAATGGTCAGTTTACTCACTTTATTCACGATGTTTCAGTCCTCAGATCTTCATTGGGTAAAGTTATTGTACTATACTAGGCTTGCTTACAATCTGGAGAGCTCAATATGGGTTTTTTTTTTTTTTTTTTTTTACAATTGCATGGGTGCTGGGAGGTGCTGTTGGCACTCTCTGATGGGTCTGCTTTTCCTCTGACATGTTTACTTATGTACAAACCTGACTTTCTGGTTTTCAACAACTTTGTGCCGAGTTTTAAAATGATCAGATGATATTTTACATAATCATAAAATGATGCTTTGGTCCCACTAACACTGCGCCTTGATACTGTAGCCTTTGCTTAATGTATCCATTTATTTAATTTAGATGGATTACTTTTACACTGCAGGGATTAAAGCTTTAACTGTAAAGCTGTAAAGTGTAAACAGAGACGTACCTGATTTGCATTCAGGACAGACGAACTTCCCTTTTGGCGCCTCAGCCAGAGAGATGCAGGGCAGGTGGAAGGCTCCACAGCACTGACCCTCACAGAGCAGCAGCTCCCCCGTCTTTTCACACACCTGAGATAAAAAAACAAACCACATAGCAGACATAGCATAATAAGAGTGATTCGAAGTAGCTGTGAAAGTGTTGCGCACGGGTTCCGTTTCTTGTAATCTGATGGGTTAAGTGTGTTACTATCCCTGGATTTTCACTGGGAATCCACAGGCTGATACAGTTTGTTCTCCGGGTGCAGTAAGCCACTCTGGAACCAAACATCATTTAGCCAAGGCTAACATCCCTGCTGAAGACTGTGACCACAATGACAAAAAGAAAGCAAATGCTGCTGAATTTTCCACTTCCAGCAGGACTCACTTTACCACAAACCTCACTGTCGCGTCCCGTCCTGATATCTAAGTTATGTTTTCTGTTTTCATCATATTTGTTTTTCAATTCTTGTTTTATTTTGGTGTGTGTCTAATCAGATCTGATCCAATTTGGATATTTGTAATCATCATCATGTCATCACAGGACAAATAACTACACAGTTCTGGCTGTCTTTTTTCTTCTCGTTCCTTTCAGGCTTGTTTGTGAACCGTTTTTCTTCTTCTTCTTCGTTTATCCGTGTTTCTTTAACGCTTCCGGGTGTCCCCTGATAACCACGGTAACCCCGTGTTTAATGTCACAACACTATGACCTTTGGGTAATTCCCTCAGGCAAAGTCTGCAGAAATGTGGACTTACGTAAAGTGTGCATAAAGGGCTGTGAGGGTGGACATTGGGATTGGACAATGATGTCTGTGTGCTCCCTGTCACCTGTACCAGTTCGTCTTAATTCTTAGTAGCAAGTGTTCCAGCAGGTGTGTAGTCTGGTGTGTGTATGACCAGTTTCCTGATTTACCTAGCCTTTTGCTTTGTCACGACCTCCTGTGTACCACCCTGCCTCTGACTACTGTTTCTGAGTCTTGCATTTTGAGTCCTCACCTAGTGGTTGTGATACTCACCAGTGGGGGTAAAACCCACTTTGACTTGTTATGAAACCTCACATTATATCGTTTAGAGGTTTAGATGGAGAAGACGTATTTTTTGTGAGTTTAATTAACCACTACAGTTAGAGAACCCCAGAAATGTTAGACATCTGCTGTGCTGCCTGCTGTATACGCTCACACTGTTTACTTTCCTTAAGTGGGGCTGCTGGACCCTAAACAATAGTCTGCAGGAGGTGGGATAGTAGCGCTGCTACAGAGGTAAACACCAGAGATGTAAAGAGCAAAAGGGACATGACAAGGTTCAGTTGAGAGGGATTTAACCTAAACAACATATATTTAACAAGATTTTTATGACATATTTTTCTCTCTTTTATAAGAGATAACAGCAAAAACTTAATGCAAAATCACTATATCATCACAAGACCACCACACAGAGAGGACACTGTGGCTTACATCAGCTAAATAAATGTCAATGACTGATTTATATGGTTTGATTGAATATGATGTCATCTCTGTGATGTAATACGCTGTTGTACCAAAAAAAAAAAATCAAATACGCAAAAGTGAATCAGAAACACTGACCTACTGGAAGAGTCTGCTTTTATCTAACCAGTGCAGTTTGACACAGGTCCTCCCTCAGGCTGTTTGACTCCTGGTTCAACACTCCATTAGTTGAATAAAGAGCTGACTCTTCCAGTATGTCACTTAGTTTTGCCAAAGTTACTTTTTCACACGTGGTTCTTCGTTAATTAATTGAACACCTGCAGTAGTTGTTTGGTGAAGTATGGTGAAATCCAGTGCACAGCAACATCAGACCACAGCTTCCCAACCGGAGCTGATTATGTAACAATTACACGCTCTGTGCTAAACACAAAAGAGTCAGAACACTGTTTGTTTGTAGCTGTACAAATAAACAGCATATAAAGTCCAGCTGTTCCAGAGGTTCTCATGATGACTGAATTTATTAGCAAACCCACATTCTCACCACTGGTTTAGCCTCTGAAGATTAGTTCCATCACCGCTACAGTAAACCTTGAACTCCAGACTAAAGGAAAGTTACAACTTTTCTCAGAAAGCTTGTGAGAGCGAAGAGGATGCAGCTCTGAAGAAGATTTCGCATGAGTGAATTGGTCTCACCTGACATATGTTCTCCTTCATGGAGGCAGGGCCTCCTCGGTCCCCTATGATCTTCCTCGAGGGTAAAAGTGGGTCGTCGCACAGCGACAAGTCGTCCTTCATGGAGGAGAAGCTGTGAGCCAAGCTGGACGGGTCACCCTTAGGAGGCAAAGGGAAAATTCACTGTTCTATAGCAATAAATCAGAGCCCACATTGTGTGCCAAGTGTAGCCAAGTGTCGTCTTCATCAATCTTATTAAGCAAAGACACATGGCTGAAAAATGAAAATGGTGGCTAATTGGACTTGTTACCAAGTCAGTCCTGCTACATCATTTTATAATGCCTGTAAGAATGGCATCTTGCACATCTTGCACTCTTCAAGGAATAACCTTTTTTTTTGTCACTGTGTCTTGGGAAATACACCAGCACAATATTAAAATATTTCTCAAACACAGCCATGTAAAATAATATAATATAATACTTAGTCTGGAAAAAGGGGGATTATGAGTCAAGGCTTTGTCGATATATTTTATCGACATCGCATAGATGAGATAAAGAGAATGAGTTTGTGTTCAAAGAAAGGTTTTGCTCTGCTCTCATTAAAGGAGAAGTCTGAGAAAGTTCCACATTCTTCTTAATGTCAACAAATCCCATGAGAAACAAAACAACAATTCCACTAACAAGTACATGTCTGTGTATCCAAGCCCGATATACTGTATTACTGTTGTCTGAAAACTATAAAAAGCACATCAGTGAGTCACGGAGTTACACTGGCTGACATGTTCCTTCATTACCGTGAACACACACACACACACACACACATACACACACACACACACACACACACACACACACACACACACACACCCCAGCACAAATCCACGACTAAAATAGCCCCCAACAAATCCACTGTTACTGTTACTGCTGCTTGAATAATGTTTTTTGAAAATGAAATTTTTTTTTTTTTTTAAATGCCACAGAAAAGAGAATATTGCCAGTTTCACCATTTAAGCACTCTTGATTCGTGCACAATATGTGACGCACTGTGAGAGCAATGTTTTATACAGTTACTAAAAAAAAACCTGTTGCAGTGATTCAGTTTTTGTCAAGTCTGGACATCCGCCAGACATCAGCAACAGTCAGCAAGGGGCGGATACTCCCACATTCTTGTTTCCCATCGTATAAGAGACCGGATTGTTCTTATTTCAGGGCTCTCACTTCGTAGGGGCCGCTGATCTCTGTATGAGTGCTGAGGCCATTTGCAAATGTTATATTTTGAATAAAACCCACAAAGAGCGTGCCTGAGCCTTTATCTTGATAAAGACTTCCACAACACTGATAAAATACTTTTAGTCCTCGTCCTGAAAGTGCAACCAAACTTGTATGTGTTTGAGAATTTATGGGCAGTCAGGACTGATATCAAATTTATCAGAGTGAAAGAACAGCCGGTGGGAAAACTAATCTTCCTCAGTTTGTGCACAGTCACAGTAAATCATTTTAATGTAACAGTCTCACATACTCTATTAACAAGAGAAGAACAAATCTGTGAGTAAAAGTAAAGATGTCTGACCTCTGACTCCGCGGTGTCCTTTTTGACCTCCTGTGCCTTACTGTCCTCTGGCTGAGGAGCCTCGACGTCCGTTGACGCTGCCTCCACCCGGCTGGGTTCGGGTGGAGCTGGCGCAGGAGTGGTCGGTGCCGGAGTGCTGGGAGTGAGACTGGTCTGAATGGAGGGCGTGGGCGTGCAGGTGGGAACCTCTGGGGTCGTCAGTGTGGAGGTGGATGCTGTAGGATGCTTACTCTTTGATTTTAAAGACGGTGGCCCTGGATCTGGGTGATGTGAGGAAGAGGCGTTAGAATCGGTTTTCACAGACAAGACAGAAAAACTTAATGAGATTTAAAACAACTAAATTTATCCAACAGGGCTTTTCTTTAATCATCTCATGTCAGGACGTATGATTTCAGTTAGCTTTGCTTCAAAATACTGCACAAATTCAAAGGAACAAAGGAAATTACTTTCGCAAAAAAAAAAAGATACGACAGTTTAAACTGTACAGTGAACTGCACCTATACATTTAAAATATACTGTAATGAGATGATTTACTGACCTGGCTGAGGGGCAGGATTTGAATTGTTCTTCAGTGTTTTGACCTGTGACCATAGAGAGAGAAACATTATCAAAAGCTATATAACTGTATAATATTCAGACGTATTCATCCAACACCATCGTCACAACCCCCATGCTCTACATTTTGGAAAAAACTGTTTCCATGCTTCTTTGGTGGATCTCAGCAACAAAAGACTTTCCTTAGCCTATAGTTGTTTACATTTTGCCAAGCTGACACCACTAAATATACGTCGAATTAGCTATTATCAGTTCCAGTTTGCAGTGAACCCATGGACATACAGATAACTAGAAGAAGACTTAAAAACATAATGATTCTCGAGCAAGTCCTGACGTTTTCTGTGATTTCTATCAGGTTAATGGACATTTATTTGCGATGGCCATCAGAGATAATACTATCCTTTAACTCATACTGAATCGAAAGATGTGCGTACCATGTCTGTATGTTCAGGTTTGCCTGATTTATGACTCTACGGTTTTTGACGCAAATTGCGACAATCTAGACGGTGAGGGGTTTTAAAGTACCTGAACTGCCTCAGTGAGCTGTGTGTGTGCCGCTGCAGCTGATGACCGTGTTGGTCATGTGTGTCTTTGCACCACCCATCAGCTCTCCTGTGCCCACCTTGGGATGCACCCCTCACAGTTTGAAAACCTCAGATCTAATGCATTTTAAAGAAAATACTTATCTTTGTGAAGCTTTAAATGTTGAGGTTTTGTTGACACTGTGTCAGAGAGGAGCTGATTAAAGTGAAGGCTGCAGTTAGTGTTACTGTTCCAATGGATTGTACATGGTTATACACAACAAGGGCAGAGAACATTATGAACACCTCTCGATGCATATGAGCTTCACACAGGCAGGATTTATTGTAGAGCTGCTGTACACACAACACATGTCCATGCTGTACCTTCTTCTTGGGGCCTGTCGCAGCCTCTGCCTCCAGACAGTACTCCAGGATCTTCTGAGTGGGTTTCCTCTTCCGCTTCTTCTCCAGCAGAGGAGCGTTTCCTGTCAATCAAACGTGCCAGCCAGGTTAGCATTAAGCATACAGAGGCTCATCCACATTTTCAAAAGAGTTTATCAAAGTTTGAAGAGGCTTTATTCAGCACGATTTAAAGCAAACAGTATAGAGCCGGCACAAGCAGATTAGTCAAGCAACAGAAAATTAATCTGCAACTGTTTTGATAACTGGAAGTTTTTCTTAAAAAAAAAAAAAAACAGTTAAAGCTTCTCAAAAGAGATGATTTTCTGCTTTTCTTTGTCATATAACTCATTAACTTTTCTTTTTTTTTTTAAGAAATATGTTGAATTAAGATAAGGATTATTATTTCTGTATGTGGACTTACAAAAACTGTGCAGATAGCTACTATCGCTTTCTAGGAAGATGACACATTCTTACACATTCACATTCTTAATCCCTGCCTTCTAAGCTCTGATTGGTCAAATGTTTCTCCAACCAGTGACCACAATGAGCACAACAACAGACCTATTGGAATTGCTGACGTCATCTCCATTTAAACTAAGCAAACTCTCAGACAGTGCATGACAGTACGACACAGTGTATCACAAATGCTGCTTTGTTCTTTTTTTTGTTTGGCTTCAAATCAAGGTTTAGTTAGCTTTAGCCTGCTGTGACCCCAGCTACACACACACACACACACACACACACACACACACACACACACACACACACAAACAGAAAAAATCTTGAAATATTATGAAAATATTATATAAAATATAAAAAAATAACAGGTGAAGGCTTGATAACTCTTGTTGCTGATTAGCTTAGCCAGACAGTTGATAGCTCCTAGCAAGCAACCTGAGTGATCAAAAATCTGACAGGCGTGTGATGTGGAACAGCAGTTAAGTCTTCGCTGAATGCTGCTGACTGACACAATACTAGGTTTTAACGCACGGCACAAATGATGAATGAGAGGGTGCTGAACTGAATGTACTGTCAGGAGGTGCGCTCCAGTAGCCGCGTGCTGAAAATCGCTGATCTGAGACCAAATCCATGCACAACAATATGCAGAACAGGCGCACAACATGACAGCAGCCCATGAGCCATGATAAGTAAAAAAAAATACCCTGCACATGTCCTTATCAATCACGCCACAGGTGTTGTTGACAGGAGATACACTCAGGCGCACTGACCACAGTAGATCAGCACACACACATTTCGTAATAATGGTCATACCCCCCCCCCCCAACCATGTAAACTTGCAATTCAGTTCCTTCTGGGGGAAGCTTCGAATGCAGTCAAGTTAAAAAAGAAACACTGGCTCACCGCTGTCTTTCACGAGGCCTTCTGACAGCGAGGGTTCAGCTTCAGGAGGAGGGGTCAGTGTGTCGATGGAAAGCACGGGTGCATCTTGGGGAGCTGTGTTTTCAGTGCTCGGAATTTGTAGTTCAGAGGGCGTCGTTGCAACGATTTCCTCAGGAGGTGGTGTCTGTATTTCAGGAAGCAAGTTCAAGGATGGGTGGTCATGTGCGTTCGTGTCCGATCCCGGGGGTTCAGACATGGAGGTAATGGGTTGAGCTGCCTGCGAAAACAAATGGTGTGACTTAAATGGCAATGAGTGATACAAGTTTCACATGTGGTGATATTGGATGCTTAATGCCAATGCCAGTATTATGCTCATATAACAACATGTAAGTTACAACAGATCTTACTTTGTATGATTTTTACCTTTCCAATCGACTGGAGAGGCTTTTTGGTTTTCTTCCTTGTGGAGAAAATCTGGTCGTACTCTTCAGTCCATTCAATCAGCCTCTTGCTTGGTTTTCTTATTCGCTTATGTGCTGAAAAAGATTTACAAGGAAAGACACTAGCTTTTTGTCTTATTCCCATTGTTTATAGTCTGCAAAACATAAGAATTCCTTCTTGTTTATTCTGAAAAACACAGGCCTCGATTTAATTCAACTGATTGTTGATAATACACCAGGAGTCCTATCATTTCTATATCAAGACACCTTTAAACTTGACAGTCTGCTGGTTATATGTGTATAACCACAGATTTGTCCTTTGTGCTGACTGTACAAACTAGAGAAACAGAGGAGCATTGTCAGTAGAGGCAAACCAGACAGGGCCCCCCCAATGGCCCCTCATATTAGCACATTTTGCAATGACAAATATAAACCCCCTTAAACCTCCCATAAAGACACGACAGTGCACTGCTGCTGCCCCCCAAATCCCCTCCCTAAGTGGAGCCCCCGATGACGTGTGCTGTAGCGATTCAGGGAACATGTGTAAATTGTAGCATCTGTATGTGTGTGTGAGTGTGAGTGGGGGTGGGGGTGGGGGCTTCAATGGGCTACTTTGCCTGGGGCCCACCAGAATGTAAGATCGCCACTGTGGAAAAAACACTTGCTCAGTGTGAATACATCCTTAAAGTCAAGTTAAACTCACAAATGGTTATTAGCCCCTTGGTCTAATCTAAGTCTAGCAAAGTGACATTTGCCTAATATTTAATCTAGTAAGAATGAGGTATTAGGTTGCACAGCGCACTGTCTGCAAACATTTCTGGTATGGAAATCACTAACTAGTAAACACTGTTACACGGCAGATGGAAGCAACGTTTACCATTTCTCTACGGCATACAAAACCCGTTACCAAGATGAGCATCAAGCCTGCTGTTCAAGCCTGCTGCTTCTGCCGTTACTGATGCTGTGGCCGACTTTGATCTGTCAACAGCACAGTCCACAGTCATTCTCAAAGACAATGACACTGTGGGCCCCAAGGAGACAATATCGAGACAACTATCACACAAACTCCACCTCCATCTAACTCCATGTAAACAGGAACTATATTGTTTAAATGAAGCCCAGCTGTTGCTCATTTATACATTACACCCCTTATATCAGTCTCTATGTATGTGACCTAACAGTCCAATTGTTAAATGAACCCTCCTCATTCATGTTATCCCACTGGGCAGTATGCTGGACATTTACTGCAATGTGATCAGCTTGAAAAGTTTGGCATTTGAGGCTGGTCTTAGTGCACATTTGTGTAGAACTACGGGTCAGATTGTGCTTCACTGTTTTGGGCAGACTCTGTCCTTACCTGTTGGAGCCTTGTCGCGTCCTCCAGCATTGTTCATCAAGCTTGTGTTAGTCTCAGTGCAGTCTGCAACAAGGCCATTCGGCTGTCCCAGACACAGTGTAGTGTCGGACCCCCGCTGCTCCAAAGGCACCATGTTCTGTAGATTCTCATTTACTCTGGTCCAGCTCTCTTTCCCCTCCTCCTCCCGAACCACTGCTTCACCACCTCTAGCCTGCCTCTCCCAGCTGCTGGTCTGCATGCCCAACAAGGACTGGACTCTTGATGAGCTATCCACTCCTGATGACGAGTCCACTGTTGGTAAGGATGCAATTCCTGGTGAGGACTCCAGTCCTGGGAAACCAGGTCCAGACCTGGCAGGACGACAAGGCACTTTGCGGTTGGCTTTCTTTTTCCCTCCTGTGCAGCTGCCCCTTCTGTTATAGGGCCTCTTCAAAATCTGACTTGTGCTGTCTTGTGTGAGTTTGATTTTGTCTGGACTTGAATTTGAATTGTTATTGACATGTCCAATTGGTTGATCTGGGCCTGTGGGTTTAGCCTCCCCAGGCATCACTAACGGCTCCTCCTTAACATGTGCACTTGGTGGCCCGATCTCCAGTTCTAAGGGGGCCCCTTCTCGCTCTCTAGTGTCATGCAAGTCCTTCAACATCATGAGAAAAGTGCTGAACTTGTAGTTTGTGTTTGCTTTGAAAGAGATGGGTTTACCATCACCCTCATTTGTCAGAGACTGGAAGGATACCTGCTTCACGTTTTTAAAGGCATTCATAAAAGAAAAAGGTGAGGAAGGTGAGGATGAGGAGCATATGTCGGAGGACTGATCTTCCCTCTTTGCTTTTACCTTAGAAGTAAGGGGTATGAAGTCCATCGGTGGAGTTGAGGATATTGAGAGGTCTTCATCTTCGCTCTTGACATCAGCTTCAAAGTCAGTTGAATCAGAAAGCATCAAAGGAGTGCTGCTACAGCTAGACAGTGTGTCCTGATCACACTCACCGTTGTCATTGTAATGAGATTTACGAGATTTCCTTTTAGTGCAAGAGTCTAGTTTGGTCCCTGGATTCCAAGTGGAGTTACGTGCAGAGTGGCGCACGAGGTCCTCAGCTTTTTTGAACGGTTTTAAGGTTTCTTTCTGCTCAGCCTCCTTTTGGGCTTTTTCCTTCTTCTTCTGCTCTGCCTCCTGCATGGCTTTCAGGGCTCTGGTCATCAGCCGACTGCTGGCTGGAAGGTGTGCAGGCTGCTCAAGTATGACTTTATTCACTTCATCTGGAACCTGCTTTGATTTGTGGACAGCCTTCTTGGATTTCTCAGAAGACAGGCCTTTGGAAACAGGAGCCTTCCTAGTTACTGAATTCCCTTGCTGGTGAGAAGGCCGAATTGAGTTATATGATGTACTAGTGACAGAAGTTTTTCTTTGCGCTGAGCTGGCCAACTGCTCAGCAGACGTGTTTGTTACATCGGCGGCAGGAGTCTTCTTACTTTCTGACCGGTCTGACTGATTAGAGGACGTGGACGTCACATTGCTGGGGCTAACATTTAAAACTGGCATTCTCTCCGCCTCTGGGCTACCTGACCCATCAGCAGAGTCACCTGCCACACTGGAGGCCACATCAGTTTTCCCTTGTGATAATTCTGATGAGAGATGAATCACACCATTCCCACCACTTGCTTTTAACTTCACAACTGAAACCTTTATAGATTCTGAATTGAATGCCTGATCTAAGGAGACACTTGCCTTGCCATCCACCCAGTCTGATTGTTTTGAGGAAATTTTAGTCACATTATTATCTGGTGTCTTTTCTTTCTTTGTGCATCCAGTTTGGTCAGTGGGACTAATGGTTACACTGGACTTCAGGAACTTCTTACCTTTCATGTCCTTGCGTATTAATTTGACAAAGGGGAGCCTACACTTAGAGACCAGACTTGTCTGCTTTCCTAGAATTGCTAATGAGTCAGTAGTGTCAGCATTTAAACTGGACACTGGACTTTTGTTACTTTCTTTTTCCTCTGCTTGATTGGAAATCCTGTCGATTACAGGGACCTTTTTATTAGCCATCATGTCAGGATGTTCAGTTCGACTGACACTCTTTACACTTTCTGACAACCTGGATTGGTCACTGAGACTAACTTTCATGCTGGGATCTAAGGCCTTTTTAACATCTGAGCTACCAAACTGATCAGACGTCGGGCCAATAACAGTGTCTGCTGTATTAGTGGGTGTCTGACTACTCTTTGAGTATCCACACTTGTCAGAGGGCACACCGGTCTCAACAGACACCGGGGACTTCTGCTTGTCTGACAGTCCTGACTGGTCAGCAAGACTGCCAGTTGTATCAGAACACTTACTGGCGACCGGGGTGTTTTTACACTTCATATTTCCTGACTGTTCAGGAGGCAGATTTGCTTCAGCAGGTACCAGAATCTTATGCTTGTCTGACGACCCTGAGTGGTCACTGGTCCCTCCACTAGAGGAGACACTTGTAACCAGCATCTTTTTACTGACAACTGACTGGTTCTTTTTCTTACACGACGCCTTGCTAAAGAGAGTGCGGTCTGGCATCGGACTGGATGTTTTAGGTCGTCTGTCTTTGCCTGATTTACTGAACCAAAGACCGCTTTGAATTTCTGGCTGCTTCTTCACCTCTTTGACAACCGTAACAGACAGCTGAGTAGGAACTAGCTTAGGTTGACGTTCAAGTGCTTTAGGACACAAAATCTTAGGGACTGAATCGAGGTCTGAATATGGGCACTCTCCATTCTCTCTATCTGATTGGTCAGGACTATTGCGCAGTGTCTTTTTAGAGTGTTTACTATTCATGTCTTTTGATGATTTGCTTGGTTTCTTCTTGCCAGAAGATTTCCTTAAAGTGCTTGGCTTTGCTGGAGTTGTTATTGGGGATGAAATAACTGGGGATGAAATGGATCCATTGGTCACGTGTGATGTCTCAGGCAGGGTGGAGACAGGCGAAGTGGAGGGAGGAAAGGTCGGATGGGTCTTGCTCTCTCTCTCCGGTGTGGAGCTGTCGTGGAAGGCCTCATCTATGGACGAAGAAACAGAGGAAGCCATTTTGGGTCTCTCCGGGAGAATAGATTCAGCTTCTGCCACACTGGATTTCCAGGAGTCCTGATAACGCTTTGCAATCTACAGGAAGGTAAAGAAAAACAATGACCAGTCTTTGTAAATGTCACAAGAATCTGTTCATGATCACTGTTGTAACTGAAGTTATTTTCGAACAATTCTGTTTCAAAGGGAAAAACTATTTTGTTTTTGCTTTTGTACTGCTGTCTAACACTATGATCACCCAGCAATGATGATGATTTAGACTAACATTTTGTCAAGGCATTGATAAAACAGCAATTACAGTGTATTTGTAGTTCTGCTCCCTTTGCTTCCCCCTCCGACGCAGTAGGGGGAGCTGTTCAAATTCAAAGCCTCCATGGAAAGTGTGAGTTGATTTTTCCTCCACCCAGACAAGCTCCACAGGCTCACCAAAGGTCCTGACGTGGTAGAGCCGACAGGGCCGGTCACTGGGCTCTAAGACAACAACAAAACATCAGCCTCAGTCTCATGAGATGCAAATTAAAATCACATTAGCCTGCACAGGAAGTTAACACAAGAACATCAACAAAGCTTTAGGAAAGTTTGCAAGAACACTGAACTCTATAAAATTAGAGAATATTAAATATTACATGACCAAAATATTAATCATTAGGGAAAAAAATGTATGTAATATGCATTTGCTCTTAAATTTCTACATTCCCCTGAACCTACTGAGACATTAAAACAATCCAGCAAAAGACATTAGTATTTGGACAGACTTTAACTGTAGCAATCCACCAAAACAAACACTTTTATATTATGAAAGCATAATACAGTCTATATATGTCAGTGGATGCAGGTGCTTAACAGAACCAATCTCAATATGGTTGGATAGTGACGAAGGAGATTCATTGGTTGAAAGTATGATGTTTTTGTGAGATGTGCACTTTTAGACTATCATTTGATTATGTTTTGAAAACATTTCTAGCACAATGCTTCTCTCCGCTGGGAGGCTTGACCCAAAAATGGCATATTCAAGAAAATGGAACAGTTTGCAACATAATAATTATATTTAATTTCTGAATGTGTCTAAATCATTATCTCAAGCAATCTTATTAAGCTTTTTTATGCAGTGGTCATTTTCATTCACTGATACAAAAGAGCCCTGCTATTACCATCTGAGACCATGTCAATTAACTGCTGACCAAAATAATCCACAGAGCACATCACACTGATGAAAGATACCCATACACAATGCATTAGTCAAGGTAAAAACAATAAGCCAACAATGTTTCAGGCCCACCTTTCACTCTGTGATAGATTCCCTGTATGGGGTCAATGATCACCTCACAGGGCCACCAGGGTCTTCGGCTGAACTTTGCCCAAATAATCTCACCCTCTAAAAACTTCACAGGCGGCAAAGGCTTTTTCTTCAGGCTGTTCTGCTGATGACAAAATGACAATGAAGAACACAAGTGCAATGAGATGTCTGAAAACTAGACAGGTCCGACAGGACCAACTGTGCTGCATCAGAGCTCATCTCAACATAATTTATGTCCATCGTGATCCACTGCACTTCAATGTGCAATTACTCCATTGTCAAAGACATCAACGTAGAAATGTTGCATAATCCAAAATGCAAAGTAATGGTGATGTCCGCCTGTTTAATAAAACTGTTATAGAAAATTGTATTTCATAATCATATGTTTGGCCTTGTTTGACCTGTCTAGGCCTCTATGAGTCTCTGTGTAAACTGTTGTGGCAGGAAATGTGAACCCACTGTGAGGTGTATGCCTAGAGACATCAAAGATGCTTGAGGCAGCAATGCTGATTTATATGGTGAGGAGAAAATGAGCACAAAAGGTCCACTTAATAGCTCTCTCCATTCAGTGCTGAATGTAGGTCGTGACATGCAGTTCAAAGATATTTAGCTACAGGCTCTGTTTAGATTCTCTTCACCACATACTGTGAGCTTCTCAACAGCCGGGAATGAGCATCCATGTCTTGGTATTGGTTTGCTTTTCATCAATAATTTTCACCTGACTATAGAGTAAAGAAAACATAGAGGTAGATGACATTCACATTTGTCAGGCAAAGACAAAATGTGAACTGTAGTTTGTTTAAAATCATCTGCTATACTGTTCACTACCTTTAATGTTCTTGTTGATTGTGAGTCGACGGTTTCATTTTTCTGACCAGTGCTCTCTACAGACTTTTTTTTCTGTGATCTAAATCCAGCTCATCACCTCTTACAGGTTTCAAACCACAGTATGAAAATATCACAAACTGGTAGCACTTGTGGCTTCTATTTCCCCCTCAGTGTAAACAGGAGTAACTGCTCACAGCAGCAGGTCGTGTGGACTGGTGGGGTACACGAGCAGGAGCTATGACTGGTATGTAGCAGAATTGGACAGAGGGCCAATTTTGGCTGTTGCTACGATGTAACCCTGGCTGGGGCATTTTAAAGGAATTGTTCAACATTTTGGGAAATTCACTTTATTGTATAGAGTTACATTAAAAAAAATAAATTAATCGATACCACTCTTGTTTCTGTCTCTTAAAAGGAGAAGAGTGCCAGTTTTACACATCAGAGTCTGCTTACACGTCTTGGTGAGTATGACCGCACGTGTGAAAAACAGTTGTATACCAGCACCTCTATAGCTCAGTAATTAACACATTATATCTCTGTTAAATCTGCAGACATACAGTTGAAAACGAGAAGTCATGGTTTTACAGGGAGTTTAAAAAAAAAAAAAAACGTCTGACTGACGACAGGATAGCATCCAACCGGACTCTTAACACAGGTTTTAAACAGGTAGTTGCTTTAGTCAGGAATGGGTGTAAGACTCTTTCAGATATAGGAAGTTAAAACGTATACGTTTCTTGTGACCTTGTTATCAGAGCCCATAATTTCAATCAAAAACTGCTCATTGTTTCCTTGTTGTTCTACATCCACATTTGAACACTGGAGGGTTTGAGTGGCTGTGAATGACAGTAAGAGAAGCACACGTGTAAATAATAAAATCAGCGATGATTAATTTCATTTAGCTGCTTCAGTTTCAGGGCTCTGGTATTGTGCACGATGGCTCACTGTCACAGTGTCATGGTTTACTGGAACTGAAAACTATCATATTACATTGAAACTTGAATAAAACAAAGCCACTGTTGATGTTATCAGTAACACCTTTACCTTTCCTGCTGTGACAAGTCAGAATATCTGCTGTGCTCGCTTCGTTCACATTGGTTGCCCTATGAGCTCATTTGAATGGTCTGTGCTTTACTGTCATTAGTGGTTGTTTTCTTGGAGGAGGCAACACATGCTGAAACACTGATTCGCATCAGTAACATTGAAATGACTCCATCAGAGTAATGAATGCTGCTCTTTCCTCTTTCTTTAGAATTACTATCACTAATAAAAAATAGAAAGAATAAAAATGCAGAAACAGAAGCAGAGCCTGCAAAAATGTTTTCTTTACTTGTGAGTCAGCCCCTTATTAGAATAGGTCAGAAGTAAGTCTGACAGCTTGGACCACTTAATTGCTTGATTTTGATTAAAATTTGTATGTGTTTTTTTGTTTTGATGCCCACATGTTTTCAACACAATAAATACCTGTATATGAAAGTGCCAGTGTACAGAAATATAACAACCATGCTGATGGGACAATCTGAGCCTTGGCAATGTTAAAAAGAAATTGATAGTGCAACACAGCAACTGTCAAATGAATGCATTTTGTCACTCTCATTATTGTTTGTCTTATTTCTACTTGGGGACTAATCATGCTTTAAGTTGTCCTATATGTATGTAAATGTAAAAATGTTGCCATGGACTCAGTGAGTTATGCTGTGGGCCACAACTGAAGCCCTTGTTTTTCAGCCTATATTTATGTACTTTTTGGCAAACTGACACCATCAAAAGTATGTCGAATTAGCTATTAGCAGTTTCTATTGCTGGATTACCTCAATACTAAAAGACAAAAAACAAACAAACAAACAAAAAAAAACGTGATAATTCTCAGGCAAGTTCAGGAGTCTTTTTTTCTATGATTTGAGATAATATAGTTCAATAGAGTTCAAGACACACTGATTCTAAAAATATGTATATCATGTCTGTGTGGTCATGTTTGACTTAGTGCCTTTTTGATCCAAATTGCTGCAGTTGGGCACTAAGAGTTTTTAAGTACCGTATTTGCCTCCATGAGCTGTGTGTCTAAGCCACTGCAGCAGCTGCTGACCGTGTAGGTGAGCCGGCCAAGTCAGCGACCACGGTACAATAACTAACTTCTGCTGTTACTTATTGTAGATCTGTATCGGACCCCTTCACCTCACAAACATCTGGAGTAGCTGAATGTTTTCCTGTTTTTTTCCTGTGTTTATCAACGACAGAGCTACAGTTGTGGAACCATAACCTGTCTATATTTACAATGACCAATATTCTGTTACGACCAGTCAACAGCAGTGAGGTGTTCCTTGCCATGTTCAGGATTTTGTGTTCTAAATAGTTGTGATCCAGCACCACAATAGATATTCTCTGGTCAGGTGAATGTCAGTCGTCCTTTGACGGAGGGCCATTTTTGAAATGTTACAATGTTGTCTCAGTACACCAGAAAAAAATGGTTGTATGCCTGTCTGATAGTGCTGTTGCTATTGCTAAAGAAAACCTGACAACCAGGTAATGTGTGCCAAGTTGACGCAGGGTAATAAGGGGTAAAACTTGCCATTGAATGCCTTGAGGGACTATCCACAAACAGGAACAGATCGGTGTCGCTCTCCCACTCATCCTCTGAGCCATCCCAGTATCTCCTGCGTTGACCCGAGGACTGGGACCGGGTGACGACCTTGGCTGACGACAGGGTAGCATCCTTAGAGTCCGAATTTAAGTCTCCAGGAGTGGAGTGAAGAACATTCCCCGCCCTCTCATGTTTGTCCTGCAAGCCTCCCATGGGCGACACCGCCTCTCGCACTTGATCATTGTCGTCATCCTCAAATAAAGAGGACTCAAAATGGAGGAGGCCATTAGCGAAGGGGCTGTTGCTATCAAGGGAGAAGGCCGGGCTAGGCGGGCCTGAGAAACAACCTTCTGTCTTTTTCTCTGAGGTGACAGGATCGCTCCGATTGGCTGGTGGCGCATCTCTACTTCCAGTTTGGACCTCGGGTTGTTTTTGTCTAGCAGAAGAATTACCAAAGCTTTTCTCCCTGCTTGTATTTTGGGTGCCAGAATAATCCCTGCTAGTGCAATCAGCCCAGGAGTCTCTCTCCATCTCCTTCCCCCTCTCCTTCTTCTTATGCACCCCCCACTCCCAGCTCCTGTCTGGTTCCCTCACCGGCAGGACCAGGTCAGGCTGGCTCACCATGGTGGTGAGATGTTGTAGCCTCCTAAGAGGACTGTAGGAGGAGGAGGAGGAAGAGGAGGAGGAGGAGTGGTCCCTTTGTGTGAACCCATAGACGGATGCATGCTTGAGAGAGGAGGTGGCAGCAGACATGGTTAGGCCAATCCTGTGGTCATGGTGTCTGGTGGAGCAAGAGTGGGTGGAGAGGTCACGGCCAGGGGTCAAAGGGCAGTTGGACTGATGAGTCTCCCTGCCAGGGCCTGCATAAGGCCCACTCATGCTGGCATGGTTCCTCCCTGAAACAGAAATGAAATCATCAGTGTGGACCCTGCATTCTTGGACAAAGAGACGTCAGTTTGGATGACTTTAAAACATAAACTTCACTGTTTGTCTTAAACCAAACCTCATTATAATTTGCTTGGAATAATTCCTCCACCAACTGCCTGAGGCACTCAATTGTGATTTAAGGTTATTTTCTATGACCCTCCAATAATATTCCTTTAAGAAATTCCACACATCCATGATTTTGGTTTAGCATGTTTCTACAATCTGTCTTTCATTCAGTACTATGTCATAGCGTTGATGCAGCTTATCTAAAGTTAACCCAGGCAGCTGGTAATGAGATATTTTTAAAAGTAACAGAAGAAAGGCACAGCTCCCACATCAGATCCGTAAACACAACACAATCTGCCGTCATATGATGTCAAAATAAAAGCGTAAACACACTCACTGGCGACGAGCGGATCGACCTAATGTGACATTTTAGCAGAGATTCTGCGCCAGCACCGCAGCCCCACTGAAAAGCCTTTTAGGAAAAAAAAAATTATCGCGATATGATGAAAATGACATCAAGCCAGATAAGGTCAGCAGCTTGTAAACTCACACACAATAAACCCTGTGACATTATTATAGCGCGTCATGTGAAAAATCAACCCGACGTTAAAAACGCCGGCGCTGAATCCACGACCTGGAATTAAAATGGACCCGTTCGTGCGCGTGCGCGTGCCTGCCGCGCGTGTGCGTAGGTGTGTGTATTTGTGCTTGCGTGTGTGTGCGAGTGTGTGTGTAGGTGTGTGCAGCTGTGTGTCGCTCGTGGCTTGCAGTGGCTCTATGATTGCACGAGACAGAAACACAAACGCCACAAAACATGCAACGACGACGACACACAACGCGTTCACGCACACACACTGGCTTGACACTCACGGACGCACACGCGTACTTCTACAAGGCTTCCCTTTCGACAGATGCAGGCTATGTGCATCAAACAACAAAATCACGCAGAAAACGCCAAATGACACGGGATCTGTCGCGAGAATCTTACCATTCCGGTGTCGCCCACCGCGAAACTGACCCTCAACCCGCTCATTTTGGCGTTTAAATGTGCCAATTTCCAATTTTTTGAAAGCGGATGAGGAGAGTCCCAGCGGCAATACTACTAGGCCTGGATCCTGTGAAACGTACTCACTCACTCACCCCCCCTCACCTCCCTCCTCCTCCTCCTCCTCCTCCCTCCCCCCTCCTCCTCCTCTCTACATGCGCTAAAGCCTGGTCCAGCGGCCCCTGGAATAGAAATTCAGGCGTGTTGTGCTCCTCCAGCGACACTCCCACTTTTACTTTGTGATAAACTACAACTTTATAATTCCCCGTCTGTGGATCTCTGCTCTGTTGACTGGCTGTTTCCTGCCTGCACACTCTGCCTGCCCCTTGAAAATCAGTCTCTCTCTGCTGTGCGCACTGCCAGTCGTCACCACTGCCTCCCTCCCCAGCCGGTCCACAGCATGGAGTACAGAGGGGGCCGTAAATCTCTCTTCAAGGGTAAAAAAAAATATATTAATCTGAGCTGACAGCCCCCCCCTCCCAAAAAAAAAAACGCACGGGACCACCACACGACACCTCCAAAAATCGCCCCGCCCCTCCCCTTAATTACAAGCATCAATTATTAACCTAAACCAGGCTGCCATCACCAATGACATGTCACATGCCAAACTTGTGGCAACAACTGGCATCCTCCTCCTCACTCCTCCTCCTCCTCCTCACCACCACCACCACCATCACCCCGACACGCACTTGGGCAGCACACATGCGCCTGGAGATGAGACGAAAAAATAAATAAATGAAGTGATAGAAAAATGTCCACCACCACGTCTAAGAAGCAGTGAAATGGTGCTGCAGGCTACCCGGAAAATCAGATGAGTTTCCTTTCCTGAGACGAGTTGCTGTGTAGTCTCTGGCTTGCACACCCGGTCCCTTCAAAATGGAGTCCTCCAGCCTTAGAGGAGGAAAAAAAAAAAAACAGGCCACAAAGTGTTAATATATGCTCGATATAAAGTTCACCCAGCCACGGAGAAACTGGGGTAGAAAGCGCACCTCTCCTGTGCTGTGGAGGTGTTTCTGGAGGCTGGTAGAGTCTTCAATCACCCATGCCACGAGAGGAACATTTCCTTTACATGTAATGCCTCCCAAAGTCACTGTCTATGAGCGTTTCTGCCACGACAGGGGGACTGAGGCACAATCATCCTCTGTTGTGTGTGTGTGTGTGTGTGTGTGAGAGAGAGTGTAAGTGTGTGTGTGTTTGTGTGCCAAACGCACGTCTGACAGTAAAAAACACAACACTTGATGGCACTTTAAGCGTCGACTGTGTTGATTTGGGTACTGATTTTTCATGTACATGAAAACAAACGCTCAGCTTTTCTGTTTTTTTTTCTTCTTCAGAAACGAAGGGGTGAAGGCAACTGCAGCTCTCGGCCGGTGAGACTGAGCTGAGAGACATGCGAGATTTCTGCTCTGGTGTGTTTGATTTTTTTTTTTTTTTCATGGGTGAAGAAAAGCCCACAGCTGTAGATTTGGAGACGATGTGTCAGTGAGGACAGACATGGCGGGCAGAGGCTTGTTTCAGGTGTAAAAAAAAATACTCCCTTACACACTCTCAGTCCACTCTTGTCACCGGGTGTCGACGTGGGGGAAACAGCGTTCATGATCGACACGGCCGCAAAACAGCAAAACCTCTCCTCCCCTCTGGGAAATGCTGGAGAAATGTGACAATGTAGTGAAATAAAAGCTCGACTGGGTCAATGTTGAGCCCAGAGGAAAAGGCGAGTCTCTGCAGGTCAGTTGTGTGGGGGATTATACGTTTTCTGCAGCCACATACGGTGAATATCAAGCCCTTCACTTTCCCCCGGTGTTTGCGGGTTTTTTTTTTTTTTCAACTAGTTGAAGCGGAAACACGGATGATTTGAGATGCGATTTGCTTTCAAGCCTCGATCTTTGCAGGAAGGGTTTGTTATGGCAGAGGGAGAGAGGGAGACCTACGGAGACAGACAGGAGAGGGACACGGGCAGACAGGACTGGGCCTGCTGCGGGTTTGCGCAGCGCAGAACAGCGCCGCGGCTCGGCAGCACCGCGCATCTCCCTGGGAACCGTCATTATCAGGCTCCTTGGTAACGTGGGTTCATTCTCATTTAGACCAGTTGGTAAGTTTCCGCTTCCCAGACTTTAAAAAATGACGATAAATGAAACCAAAACCTCTAAAACAGTTTCAGAAACACTATGAATTTAGTTGATTGTGACATTATGACTGTAGTTCACAAACTACAGCCTGAAAAACAAAAATATAACCAACACTCTGTTACATAAAAGCATTTCAAATATAAGTATTATCGGCTACATAAAAGTAAAAACACATTATACAAAAATATCCTGTTCAGAGTGATATATGAATGACACATTGTATTATTGGGTATTATTACTTTATCTATCTCTTATCTTTTGTATGCAAAACTGTAATGTGACACTACAGCTGTCTGATAATGTAATGGGGAAAATGTGCAATATTTCCCTCTGAAATCCAATGGAGTATCAAGCATAAAATGAATACAAAAAAGTACAAATGCCTCAGAATTGTACTTAAGTAATTCACTGAGTAAATGTACTCAGTTACGTTCCACCTCTGTATATATTACGATGTGAAAATACCACTATGGGGTTTTTTGAGAGACTGGTCAACAGGTGGTGAGGGCTCTGTCTGAAAGCTGCCAGGTGTTAAGTACATCTACTACATTTTTGAGGTAAATATACTTTACTTGAGTATTTCTATCTAAAGCTACTTTATAATTCTGCTGCACTAGATTCAGCGAGTACAGTCTTCAACCCTTTTGGCTTGTGACTCTTTACAAAACAGCAGTGTCTAGGTCCCAGGGCCAGATTAACTTCCTAGGGGGGCCCTGGGGCAAAAACTTGTTGTTGGGCTCCTACAGACTCCCACAATACACAGCAATTTCATTATTTCCCCAGACACCCAGGAACTGACAACACACTAACAACTGAAAAAAATATGTGTCTCCACAAACGCATGAGAAATGATTAAAGATCTGTACACATTTGCATAACACAGGCTAGAAGCACATGACAGCAAATGACCAGAATCAGAATCAACTTTATTGGTCAAATGTTTACTCATATAAGAAATCTGTTTCTTGCTTACAGTTTGTACGAGTGGTAATAGGTGTCCACTTGTTATTACTGCAAATGACGTATAATCATTTAGAGGAAACATGACAAATTCAGTTGTTCATTTAGCTCAAGAGGGGGAAACCAATATACCAACTGTCCAACGACAATTGTAAACTTATTCTAGATCAACTATATGTGCCTTTTCCTTATGTCTTTATGTATTTTGCCTCTGATGAAGACACCGTGGTGTCAACATGTCATTATGTCTGCACTATTAAAAAGATGAGGAGCAGCCACAGAGGTTTAGTAAACTTTCTGACTCCCCAACCCCAGATTTTTTTCTTTTTCAGACTTGCATTCTTCAGATTCATGTGATGTCACATGATTTATCAGACTTTCCACATATCTCTCTGGAGACACAAGAGGCTTCATGCAAAAGGCTTCCTGCAACTTGTTTTTCATATATGCAGTTGTACTTCCTTACACCTGTAAACAGACGCGATATAAATCAGCACATTGTTTATAACATGTCTAACAGCTTTGGGATTAACCACCAGTGTTGGGCAGTAACACATGACTGAGTAACATCTTACAATAACAATAACGCAATTCCTTTTTTTTAGTATGTCTCTGTCTATGATGTCAGTTTTCAACTAACTTTCCCAACACTGTTAACCACATTAACCCCAAAAATCAACTGACATGTAAATCTGGGGATTTTTTTGGGGTCCCTGGGGCCCAGGGGCCTCAAGCATTTGCCCACTTTGCTTGATAATCCAGCCTTGCTTGGGCCCCTTGTCACATTTAGGATGTTTATGAGTTGTTAGCA